ACTTCTTTCTTTGCTTGTGTTCATTAGTTCAAGTCATCAACACGAATGCATAGACTGCCCTAAGGTCATTGGCAAACTGGAATGGTTTACCATATGTGAAGCGGCTGCAGAGGTCAGTGACGAAAGGTGTGAAGTGCATATGATCCAGTACACTCCTCTGGATGACACCAGATATGATGGCTCTAGGTTTTGAAAGCTGAGGCTTGATTCTCACTACCTGCGAACGGTTGTTTAGACAGCACAAAATGCATAGTTATAGTCGTAGTTAAAAACTGCAGTTCTGACAAAGCTAGATATCAGAGTTATTGCAAGGAAATTTATCTTGCCTTACATTTACTAAGAAATAAAAATGCCAATATGGTTAACTGCGGGTGTCAGTTGAATTTATAGGACTATATTTTAAGCACCGTATGACCTGGATCTCGTACGAATTGGGACTAGTCGACTTAGGGTATTTTGCAAACCCAGCAGGACTGACGCTTTTTCTGAGCCATGGATTCGTGCTGCAGTAGGAAGCAAGCAAGTGATGGGCTGCAGGTATAAGGGTGTAAATGATGCCATTCCTGAAAAGGCAGGTAGAGCCAGGACCAAGGACAATGCAGTGGGTTGGTACGGAGTAGAAGTGATTTTGGTGTCCAGTGTTTCGGGAGGTTACATGAAAATGACTCCCGTATGACCTCTGAAGCTGCATGTACTTTTTCTGTAGTGTCTTTGTATCTTCGTTTAAAAATAATCTCATCACCCAGTCTTCACTTGATTATTGTTGCTCGATCTCGCAATGGCATTTAGCGTCAAATAATTCCAACAAATCAATAGCCTACCGTTTGATGAAGTGAAACATTTACGCTGACCTTCACAGTAATATCGAAATGGTTGGACTGAAGACAAACGGTCAAGTATCTACTTCATTTGGCACGCCATCAAGCTATGCTGTGCTGCTCGTGTGCTAGTGCATGGTCACTCATTTGAAGTGCACTGGTATTCCAGAGTCGTTTGTCAAATAAACCGCCCCCAGTTGCCTGCCCAGCAGTGTCCGTTCTTCGTCTTACGCATTTTGGCATTCAGCAGGTACGAAGAATCACTGATTGACCTCTGTCTGTCATGGTGGTTCGAGGATGACTTCCCAAATTATTCGTAGGTGACTGTTCCCCATTTCTGCCAACCTTATTTCTATGTTTGCTGTTAGACTGAGAACTATCTTGCTGTAATTTGCTCTTTGCATGAAAGTCTTCTTATATGCTTATTGGAATGTTGTTTGACTCTGCTCATGACTTTTAAATGAAGCCGTTGAAGTGGTTTAAACTTGACTAGGAATGTCAGCTTTGTGCTGCCAGACTCTGGAAGGATAATGTCCGATCCACTTCGCAGGGAGTATTCCAGTTTTTTGAGAGTAAGTAACCTTTGAGCCCCTATTCGATGAACTGTGAGAATCTGGGTTGCAACCATGTACGGCGTTGCTCTTAACTAATGTCATGCTTGCATGGGAATATCGGTATTGGATTCGATATGACATGTATTCCTAATTTAATAATAATAATAATGACATTTCGAATAATGAATCATGCAAACACATGCAACGTCTGAATTGTGCCGGAATGCTCAAAATGCAGAATGGATAAGGTGATTGTCAGGCTAGGCTGACAGTGAAGTCGGTAAGGTGGTATGATGAGTGCATGCGAACAGCTTCTGTGGGTTCTGAAATCGTTCACGAATAACTTTAAGGGGGTTTTGAAAGTGCCGTGGTGAATCTCGTCACAATGGTATAACACAGTATTCGTGTTATACCCCCTTACGGAAAACAGCACGCAGGCTTGACCGACAGCCAAGCTTTCACGCCAGATCCTCTGACAACAAAATCGGACGAAATGGTGAAGACTGAACCGGATGGAAGACTTCATTATCCCCTTGAAGAACAGACAACCAACAAATGCATGTATACCTATATACATATGGGACATGGCTTCATCTAGAATTTGAAAAGACATCGTGGTAAAGGCAAGCAATAATCGATCGTTGAAGTACCCTGAAAATCATGAGAAGAATAGACCACTGGTCACTCCAACAAATGGCGCCAAAAATTGACCTGAAAATATCTGTGTGGATAACCAATGCTTCAAGCAAACTCCGGGCCGTCAGACTATCGAACAAGATTGGTCTGCCATTATACTACCTTCGTGCCCCTAAGGGTATTATAGTTTGGGGCCAACGGTTAACAGTGATTCTGAAGCTAAAAGCCGAGCATTTCTCCCGTTAAGTTCCCAAGGCTGTTCACTAAAAATAGGCTTATCACAGGGCAGGTTCCTTTTCTACTGACTTTTCCAGCGAGAAAAAATATCTCAGCGGCACGGTCATAGTCCAACATTAAGCCCTAATCCTGGTGGCTTTAGGAAATGAGACATTTATTATGAGGGGGTAGATTCTACTTTCAGAAACGGGCGACAGGCTCAGAGTAGACGGAGCAGTCTTCCCAGAACCACCCGTTGTTGGTCGCAGTAATGGGTCATCTAGGGATCCTTGCCCAACGGCAGTCACCCACTGACACAGCACTGCGTGTGGGCCACATCGAAGGCTGTTAGAGCCGTGGAGTACTACTGTTTGCCAAGGCATTCAGATTCATGCTATGTATGAAACATGGCATGCTTACGACACCAGAGGCAGTGAAGTTTTCTTGATTGCTTTCACCGTATAATTCTTGGTTTTTCACATTATACGTTTCACCACCTTTCACAGACCTCAATTCTCAAGGCTCATGGGATGCTAATGGACACAAGATAGGGGTGAACTGTTGTATTATCTCAAAAAAAGTTAGTGTCGCAGATTCATGTTCGGTCTTCTTCACAGGCTAATAGGGACTTTCATAAAAGAGGTTATTTAATACTGTCACAAAACAAAGCCCCGTTATATTCCTCTGATTGTGTGTATCGCAGTAAAATAGTGTTGTCACTTATCAATGTTGTTTCTAACAAAAATATTGCTCGCAACCATGTGGTGGTAGCGGCTGAGCTTTCTGGCCTGGTTTCTGCATATGGAAATGAATGCGGAACAAGTGTTGCGCAGTTTCCCCTACAATTGTCAAATCATTCGATAAAGATGGCCCTAGTTATCAATTTTTCTTCCCACCCACCGAAGTTATTTTTCAAGATTGTCACTCTGTCTCATCCTATTGTGTGGTTGTGTGTGGCAGTATCCCATTCTATGATTTAGTTCTATCCCCTATTTCGCATCTCACTAGGGCCTACAGTGCTACAGTCAGTTGGACTTCTATGTTCTGCTTCCTAAATGGCCATAGTTAGCTGGTTCAACCGGTTTGTTTGACCTCATAGGCATTATACGGGACTTGGCGGACCAAATAACTTTGTTGACTATTTTCTATAGGATCTGTTTACGGACAAGTTTGTCTCCATGTAAGGTTGTAGGTTGAAGTGCCAGTTTAATCTCGGGATTTATTATGAGTTCCACACGTAGCTCCCGATGCCGTTTCCAAAGGTTGCAAACCTTTCTACGTTTTAAAATCGTTCCACCTGGTTTCTTCACTACTCGTAAAGACCAAACGAGGGAAACGAAGCACACACAAGGGAAATCAGGAGATAAAGAAGAAAACGTCGTGGGGCAGAGCAACCATTCCCCTCTTTTCGTCCTTCCCCTCATCTGTCTGCCTTTTCTCCTTCAGTTCGCCTCTCTTTATCAGACTGTCTGTCTACTTTTCACCCATGAAGTCTCCCTCCCCATCCTATTTGGCTTCCACATCATTGTCTAATTCTTCGCTTCACTTCACTTTTATTTCTCTGGCTTCTTCTTCAATCCCCCATTTTTAGCAGGCTCGGTAACACCGATATTATTTGTAGTCATTCCCCACTACTCTCAATCTTTTTGAATAAACTCATGTCGGTATTTGGTAACATGGATTTTCTACCTTTGTAGCCAGCCTTGATGCTCCCCTACTTAAGCGGTTGGCCAATTCCAGTAAAAGTCGGACTACAAAACCTTTTCAAAAGGTTTCAATGATTAGATTTCTGAAACTTCGAGCTGCTAGCATTATGGGTTTCCGAAGTGGTTAGAAGGGCATCACTGAGATACGTATTTAGCTATCAGGACTCAACTAAAATTGTTTCGATGCTTCAGGACGGTCAATGAGGTTCGCTGGGGCTTTGTACTTGGCCCCGAGTTACTTGTAATCCTTCTTACTGACCTTTGAGGATACTTCGTGTCCAGCCTCCTTCCATCTGCCAATGATTTAAGGGTTTGGAAGAAAACTGTTGAGTCTGCAGGCATCAACTCCCCTTAATATGGCACAAATACGGCTAATAAATTGACCACAGAGTAACTGGTCATAGGCGAATCAGGTACGTAACATACTTGGATTATAATCAAGGACGCCATAAAGGCTAAGAATGTAGTTGTTGGAAACAGTTTACAGGCTCTGTACACCGTTCGACATATTGACTATCGTCGTATGTCAAAAAACTTTCTTTTATTCTAGGCATTTAAATATGATCAGGTGGTGTTATGCTAGTGGTGGATCAAATAACCTGGATTCGCTCTTGCTATGATAAAGAAATAGTAAAGTTAGCCACGATCTTATGTCTAAGGGATTAATCCTGACATGAACAGCGCGAAGAGGCTCGTGCACAAATTTGTGCGGACGCATTTTTTACGAACCTACAACATACAGGGTTCTTCTGCTGCAATGGTGGTAATGGCTGAATTGCAGTAGGCCTCTAAGTGGATACCAGAAGTTCATCGCAGGATCAACGGATCAGATGAATAGTACTCGATTTGCCTGTTTTTCGCCCTCAGTAATCAAGCGTAAGCACTTGATTACAAACCTTTTATAATTATTTAGTGATAAGCATTTTGCTTTATTTTTTTCTAAATTGTACTTTATATAGTCGCCGTTTAATAGAACTAAACCGTTAAAAGATGGTCCATTTAAGCGCAACTTTCCTATATTTTGTAAAGCCATTTGGAGCTGTATAGCAGGAGTTTTAATGCATTATTTACAGCCTTAAACTTACCAGCGGTGAATTCGAGTTTGTCGGTACTACGCTCTTAGCCTGGACAATTTAGATTGAAGTATTGCCATTGCCTGTGGGATGCTACATAATTTTTTAACCCCTTATAACTTTTGGATAACGTCATACATTTTCGAATGCATTCAATGGATAATGTTGCTCTGAAAATGAATGTAGAAGAAGTCCAAAAGTCTGGAACGAGGTAGACGATTTCCTTGAATTAATTTTCTGTAAAGTAGAATATTTAAAAAATCCACGCCGAATGGAAAGGTAATCCATTACTTATTTTTACTGAAACCTTAGTTAACAATTTACTTGGGGAAACGAGACTTCATTGATCACCTAACTCATGTGGACCCCATAGGTACGTTATTTAAGCAGATAAGGTTTTGATATTTTCTGCACGAAACAGTAAGGTAATATATACTTTTTGTTTTTTATTATTCTTTTAAAGTGATTGTGGAGTGATATTGACACCTAAATGACCTTTGTATACGTCATATTTCATGTTATCTTGGAAACATGTGGAAGTGAAATATAAGTATTATACCAATTTTAGAAAAGCCACAGATTTCAGGTTAATTCACACCTTATGTGTTAAATCAGTGATCCTAAACACGATTCTCCACTTCTTAAATATGTTCACATGCAAATAGTAAACAGTGGTTCATGCAAGTGTATTCCAACAAGCTTTATCCAGTTTGTTACTCACTTTCGTGAGCTAGGTTATGGTTGCGATATAACTGTTTGAGATTTTAAGGCAACCGTAAAATGAGTTAAGGAGTACATAGAGTTTCTTACTGAAATTTCATGAACACAGAATAGTTATTTTCAGGTAAGAGCGCTAGTAAAGCAAAACCTGATATATCTTTGCTGCTGCTCTGGTAATGAATGATGATGCAGATAGGGTTAGCTTCTGTTGTGGCATTTGAGAGCAACTTTTTATACTTACCAATCAGATCGCCCGTAAACACAAAGTGAATTTACGGTGCTACAGTTTGGACTATTTACACGGTTTAAGCTGCTTGATAGTAGCTGCTAGTAATATGAAGGGTTGTTTATTATACATTGCTACCAATTGTTGATAGTTTCCTCAGAAATAAACGCTGTGTATATCCAGTCTTTGTATTGAGTATGGATGTGATTTAAAAAATATCATACCGATGTATGCAGCTAACCATGCGATGGACAACCTACAGTGGTTTACTTATTATAACCTTAAGTTATTCTGTTCCCCTTCAGTCTTTAGTTCAGTTAAATAGCATGTTAACATGAAAATTTCAGTTTCCCTTGGACCAGTATTTTGGAATGGTGATATAACTCGACAGCATAAATGTTCATGTACTAGGTAATAGCTCACCTATTTTTAGAAAAATCTGAATTTTGATCATCTAAATTTTGGTTGGTTTAGCAGCTTTCGGACCTCTATTCACTTCGCAAAAACCAGCTGCTAATTTCAGTGAGTTGCTTCCCACGTAGTTGCCACCTGCCAGGCGCATCATGTAATACGCGATAGCTTACAGAACTAACTCGTGATCCAGACTAATCAGGTGGAGTGGAATTCGAGCATCCTGGTTTTTTTGCTATCAGTTCCGTTACCGCTTCAGTTTTTTGACCTTCATCTTTTTGGTTTTCTCAGTGTAGGGCTGTGGCCTGTAGGGTTGGAGGGATGACTTTTAGTGTCCGTAAGTATGGTATATGCTTTGCATAACCCTGGTGGGTTAGTTACGGATGAGATCTCTGCACAAATACAAAAGGCTCGATTGGCTTTTGCCAATTTGCACCACTTATGGCGCCGCCGTGATATCCGTTTGTCTATTAAGGGTCGCGTGTACTGCATGGCAGTTCGCTCTGTTCTACTGTATGGCTGTGAAACATGGCCATTGAAAGTGGAAGATATAAAAAGGCTTCAGGTGTTTGACCACCGTTGCCTTCGTAGTATAGGACGTATTCCGTGAGTAATGCAGAAGTCAGGTGTAGAGTTTTAGGAAGAAGCGGTAAGTCAGTTGACGAGGTTATGAACCTTCATCGGCTGAGATGGTTGGGGCACGTACTACGTATGCCTAGTCACCGATTGCCTCGCCACACAATGTTGGCTGACGTGGGTCCGGGTTGGAAAAAGGCTCGAGGTGGTCAGACTTAAACATAGCACCAATGTATAAAGTCTCTGACTGTTGGTTTAAGCCATGTAGGATGATGCAAACTAGGTGGTTGGGGTCCGCGGGACAAGATGAACCAGTGGTTGGAGACCCTATGTGATATGGCTCAGAACCGATGTCAGTGGCGCAGATGTATACACACATTATCCTCATCTTAACAACGCTATACCGAACCTCACCATTTTGTCACTCCTCTTTCCTTTCTTCTCGTACTTTATATTTCTTTTGACTGCGTTCACTTATCTTCATCCTTCACCTCACTACCTTTCCACTTGATGAACTGACGTGAGGTGTGGCAACTCGGACCGTTACGCAGTAATGCCTGGTCCTATGTTGATAATGATTGATTGATAACCATATCGAGAGCCAGAGTGGCATACGTCCATTTGAGCCACCTTTGGCGCTGTTGTGACATTAGTCTGACCGTAAAAGATCGGGTTTAAAACGCTTCGGTGTGAGAAGTTCTGCTCCTGTGAAACCTAGCCTCTCCGAGCTGATGATATGCGTTGACTATGTTTGATCACTGCTATCTGCGTAGGACTACTCGTATTTGGTGGCAAGACCATGTAAATAATTGTGAAGTACGACAGCGTGTGTTTGTGCATGATAAAGATCATCATTCAGTAAGTGAGGTCATCTTGAAACCCCTCCGGTGGCTTGGACATGTGTTACGCTTGTCGTCTCAACGGTCTCCACGCCGTTCATTGCTTGCTAGTCCTGGGAGTGGACGAAAGAAGCAGAGGCGTGGTCAGTGTATGATATGGCGCCACAGGGTGAAGGGTAGTTGTATCAGGTTAGCATCTATTGCTGCGTCATGACTCCCTGTGTGGGGTCCTATGGATGGCACAACTCAGTGGCTTGAGACGATATGAAATGTGGCTCAGAATCCCGACCACTACCGATCATGCTCTAGATTCCTCTAGTCTTCTGCTGATGAAAAGTGAATGGGTGTTCCGTTTCTAATGCACCTTACTGGACTACCTTTCTAATTATTCTATTCTTATTGTTTTTCTTTTTTACTTGTCCAATTCCCTTCGCTTTATGTCTTCATATTGTGGTTATATTATTTTGTGTGGCGTATTTCTTGGTGCCCTTGCTGTACCACATTTGTGTTCTAATAATAATAAACCAAGTATAATATAAATTGTCAAATTCTTAGTCGTTGGTGACTTTTTGTTACTCACTGTTCAAAGTGACTTTGTGAATGGTTGTTCAAAGTTAAACAACGCTTAAAGAATACTACACTCTAGATGTGATTATTTGTTTTATTCTTTTGTGATGTACAATTTTTGCAAATGACTGTTACCTTAGTGGTTAGTTAGCTGCTCGCTAGCCGCTGGTACAGGCTACTGAATAGTTTTGACTACATTTGATCATTTCGTATTTGTGAAATCAACTGCATACGTTATGATAACCGGATTTCTTAGTAGTTGGCATAGAGCTTCTGGTTCGTTCTCAATCCGTTTTTACAAAGTCCTTTTGTGTGAATTTGATTTGTTTTATTTTTTCACAGTCTTTCATATCTGATAACCGAGGAATATTTTGAAGCTGTTTATTTCTGTTTGTTCACACTAAATTTTAATGTGTAGAAATGACAAGGTATTTGAATGCTTTAACCTTGTAATCGTATTTGTCACCTTTCTCAAAATATCTAATATCATTTTCATTATACAGAAGGTGTTGTATTAGTAGATCCTGATTATGTCAAAGATCGGAAGGTATTTGTACATCTTTTGGGTGCGTTCTGGTACGGCAGGGATGAAGTCGATTTGCTTGGACTAAACTATCACAAAGATCTTTGTGTGATGACGAAACAGATCTACCCACCTACCAGTTCAAAGACTGTGAAGTCACATATTCCTGTTCTGTTACCTAGGAATGGCGATACTACTGAGTTGTCATCAAACGTACCCTACAAATTTACTGAACCTCCGGAACGTACTCGGTTACAAGAACGTTTAGTCCGAAAGCTGGGTTCAAATGCTTATCCATTCTACTTTCAGGTAACTTAGATTCCTTAGTACTGATTTCTCATGGCTAATTATTACTCTCTAGAAGATAATCCTGTAAATAAGCTTTATTTTTGAAGGAAAAACTAGAGTTGGGTTTTATCATGAGTTATATTTGTTACTAGATTGTGAGATCTCATAGAACTTTAGCTGCCTTTTTTTAATTTGAGGTAACCGGAGATATGGCTTACTAAACTAGTGAACCATTTGATCTTCAGATTACTTGTTTTTATGTTTATTCTTCATTTCTTTGATCTAGGTGTTTGGATAGTCTCAGTAATTTTCATAGCCTACTGCGTAAATCTGTTGGTCCTTACTGTTCGAGGACTCTTTTTAGAGGGAGCGTACTGAAAATTCCTACTTCATTACAGTGACCAACCTTCTAGCCTTTCTATGAGCTCAGTAGTTAATGGCATTCATTAACGTTCATGATGCACTTGAAAAAGTTATGTTATCCGCCTATCATCGATACTTGTATCGCGTTTTGGTTTATCCACCAATAAACTGAATCTTAATCACTGAATACCTACTTTAGTTCTCCTGTGGTAATAGTATCAGAAAATGTAGACTGCAGGCTCATATTTACTATTTAGAAGACACAACATATACTATTAATTTTTATGTGATTAATTAGACGAACATTACCATTTTAATTGGTTTTACTTTATGATTTATGAATTAACTTTTACATATATAAATCTGTTTGCTCTTAGCTCCCAGCGTATTCACCTGCTTCTGTATCCCTAATTCTTAACCCATCTGATCGTGGAAAAGTAAGCATTGATAATTAACTTTACTAACTTTTTCAGTCTTTTATTTAGACAGGTATATTTTCTAGGTTAAAGAGCAGGATTTTGGGTAGATGCTTAGGATGTATTTTCCCTAGTTCTTAACTGCAGTGGACATAAGTATAGTTGGTGAGCAAAGTAGTGTTGATTTGCTATCCTTAAAGGTTAATGGCTGGAGTCTGTTTGCTTGACCGAATAGTTAGTTAATGGTATTATCTTCAGAGTACCAGTGATCATAGTAGATATAGTCATGTTGTAAATGGGTAGATGTATTTAAACTGAATTGCTTTAGAGTATGAAAACAACCAGTGCTACATAGTTCAGTAGTGAATTGAGCATGATTTGTTTATGATTCACATCTCATGATATAAAGTAGTCACTTGATACCCAGTGCAGCTGACTACAGAAGATAAACGTATGTTTGTAAATTTTTGAAGCCAATCAGTGTAAGGCTGTGTGACCTGAGTTTTGTGCCTGCTGAAATTCATCAATCAGTCATATTTGTTACTTTAAATATACATATACTCATCTACCAAGTGTTCTGGTTAATCTACTCAGAACGTGACCTATCGGGAAAAAGTTAAGTAGCTATACCATCCATTAAATACCGATGGTCTCCGTTTTCTATTCAGTACTCCGTTTGTTTTTGGTTTGTGGAGCTAATAATTGTAAAGCTTACTGGAATTCAAGCAAAATTACTACAGTTACAGATCTGTTTAGGAGACTGAACACTTCTGTAAACAGGATTACTAGATTATATGTATAAGAAATCATGATAGGAGGGAAGCTTACTTTTGAGCCTCTTTTATCCTTCACAGTCACTACTTGATTCAGATATTTACTTCACTATTAATTAGGACTCACTGAATGTTTTATATTTATTTATTCGGTTTTGTGATATGCTGTGATGCCGCTTATTACGACTGCAAATTATTGAAAGGTCGATGTTACCCACTACTCTATATTCCCCTCTGGGATTTAAATTTATCATTATCAGTAATATAGTGGATCATGAAAAGACAGACACATTTTCCTGCCAATGTTAATTTTAGAAAAATTCATCGGACCCAATCCTGTTACTGAAGCTATGCCTGATGTTCTTTTACTCAGTGTATGACTTCAAGTGAGGATAATTGTTGTCTGCTCGTTATAAATGAGGTTGTTGGGTTGATTTACATCCTTGTATATCCTACAGAGTTAGTCGACGAAGCATCATCATTATTCGAGTGGTGACTGATTGTGGTGTTTTCTTTGTATATATGAATTTTGTTATTTACTTGGAAATGTGTGACTATGTGATACTTCCTTTGCGATACATCAAAGTGGCATAGTTAGCAGATGGATTTCAGATAGGTCTGTTTTATTCCTTATCTGGTTGTCTTTTGATTATGTTCAGTTTCTATTTATTTATGTTATTCAGTTTACTTTAATATGTCTAATCATGTGAAACTCACAATTTCATATCCTCAGTTGGGTGTGTCACCGTTTTTTTCTAATTTAACGAAAACTTTATTTAAAACTAAAGGTGGCTTCGTCAATCGATGTACTTTTTTATTTTCACAGCGTTGTCGGGTCGAGTATGAATTAAAAGTTTATGTGGCGGATGATCAGGATGACAAACCTCAGAAAAGGTAAATAAGCACTCATGTTTGTCTCTCGTTGGTTTGATTGCACAATTGTATTTTACTCTCCTATTTCCATTATCTTAAGTTTTCAACTGATTAAAAACATTTTATTTCCCGATACAAATTTAAAACAAGCAGCGAATGTGAATAGGACAGATAATAATCGAATAAGAAGGTGGATAACGTTGAGATCCTAGGTGAAAAATAACACTGGCAATAATGCAGCCATTGGGATGAAAGTTGAGTAGGTTGAAGATAGATTACCTCATTTTAAACAAAACAGTTAAGACACTAGGTAACAGCGTAGTGTTGAGACCCTGAAAACCAGGTGTGTATTGAAGTTAATCATCATGACAAAGGTAAAAGGAATAAGATTAATTGAATGAAGTGGACCACGAAATAGAAAAGGGGGTGTAGTTGAAGATCGAGAACAGGTAGGAAAGAATAGGCATGACAGAATAACATTCTAAACACTCGGTCTAACTGTTATTTTCTTCTGCACGTAGGGGTTTGGTTTTCTGACGACTGAATTTCATTATTCTTATGGATTTGGGATTATCAGCTAATGACTACGAATCAGTGATTACATTGAAGGGTTTTTCTGCATTCTTTTACTCCAGTCAATATCATGGATAACCATCGTTTATTAATTCTTATAATTTCCCGTTTCTGTACTGCGTCTAATTTTTCGACCTCTGCCGGTAAATGGGCTGCTTTACGGTTGGCTCGGTACCGCGTGAATATTCATTGTGTTGTAGTTTACTTGGTGGTTAGCAGTAGAATCCACGATGCGCATTTCATTCTATTTGGGGCTCGTCAGGTGGATATATGTCTGGACCCTAGTGAGTAGTTTTGTTCTCACTGGGACTGGAACCCAGTGGCCATCGTTTTAAACGCCAGAGCCTTGTCCACTGGGCCATTGAGGAACGATCTAGTATAGCAGCGGGAATTCGCGAGCAGCAATAAAAAAGAACTGTTACTCGTTGCACAAGAGGTACCTCATACTTCAGTGGCCTAGTGGATAACGCTTTGGCGTTTGAAGCGACGGCTACTGGGTCCGAGTCGTAGTGTGAACTTTATCACTCACTGGAGTGCGCGTACATTCAACCTATAAGGCCTGAAGAGGACGAAACCCACTTCCTGGATTTCACTGCTACCCACCAGGTAAACTACAGCATTGTAAATAGTGAATATATATCATGTATTGTAATGATGACATCATATTGTCTACTTTTGATGCCTGTTCCGCTTAGGGATGCAACCAAACTGTATTGTGCATACAGCTCTTCATAGACAAGCGCATATAGTTTGCTGACTCATAATGAAGCTTTTCGCTTGTTTCGAAAATTCGTAACTTACCCAATAGATAATCGTCGAACTCCCATTAGTAGTTGGTATATCTAAATAATACACTTTGTGTATATTTTAGGTGAATCATTTATCAAGTACTGAAAACCCAGGGAGTATATGTGCTTACGAGGGAACCGGTGTTACTTCGTTGATTCAAAATGGCGTCACTCAGTGCTGAAATCTAAAATTTTACCACCTAAGTATTCAGGTCAGTAGTTTGTGTACACAAACAGGTCACCAGTGAGTAACCTATTTGTCCCTCTTGTGCTAGGTGCTGATCCAGGGCTTCCTACCAATCATCATCTAAAATCAGACTGCAGTATCGCGTCACTTAGCGTAGTGATTGCACTGCACAGCTGACTAATGGACCTGGATCAGCGCTAAACGTCAAGGATCGGATAGTTACAATAATTACTCGATGATAATCTGCTTTTGCACTGACATCAGTTGGGGAAACATAGGAAACCTGGGAGCACTGGACAGCTATTTCGCCCTAGTACGGGACTTCTTAGCAGTGCGCGCCCACCCCACCAGGACCGGACCCAGGACTTACAGGTTCCGTGGCCAGAACGTTACTATTGAGTCACTGGGTCGGAATCCAATGGTCCATATTTCCTACTTCTATCAGTTCACGGTATAGCGCGACCTCCTTCCAATGCCGTCTTTGGGCAACTGTCCTCACGTTCGACTTGGTTCACCCTACTTCTCATTAGAACTTCGGAAATCACCTCTCGAAGCTAGTCACCGACAAGCGCTAGATTAGTTCAGTTTTGAGGTTTGTGGGGAGTTATCGGTTTCAGGTTGGTCATGGGTGGGCACTGCTGAAGAGCCCTGTGATACGACGAAACAGCTATCCAGTGCTACCAAGTCACTAATGTTCCCCCAACTGATGTCAGTCCATTATGAATGCCAACTTGGAAAGTTTATTAGGTTTGGACGAAAAATGTTATTTTCATGGGACTTCACTCATTTACATATTGTTTCTTTTTCGCATACAGATACTATCATTCGCGTATTAAATAAATGTCAATCAAAAACTTAATGATATCATATCTTGTTAACTGATAATTTATATTTGCATTTTAATCCTTATTTCCTATACTCATTAAATGATTGTCATGTTTTCAACTTATAGTAGTGAAGGTCATAGTTAGTAGTAATGCCTGTTAGTCCGTCTTTTTTTATATTCAGTAGAATAGTTGCTGAATTTAACAGAAATGAGAAAAATAGATTAGTGATAAAGTCTCAGAGTAGGTGGTTGAGAAGATGAATAGATCACTTTCCAGTTGTTGAGATGGTCTTCATGCAGACTACCCTTCCAGTCATAGCCGGAATGAAATATGAATGTAACTGAGTAATCATTTACAGGTTCACGGACTAGACAGTGTACTACACTACGTGCTGATTACGAGACGTAGCAATAGAACGCTGAAAAGATCCATCTACAGGAAACCTACATAGAATGGATAGCTTACTAATTTCTATAGCTGGGTGCCGATCATGAGGAAGAGAAACCTCAGTCACTCACTCGAATACATTTTAGGATTTATCCTGGTGCGAATTTGACGGACGCAAAGACCAATCACTAATTATTCAGACTTGCTATATACCCACGAGTACGAGACCAAGGAAGAACACGATAGCGTAGTCGGATGGAATAGTATATTTGAATGGTTGTGCCAAGATACCGATGCGTTCCAACTAACTGGCTAGAGAGTCGAATACGAGCAGTGCAACGTAACACGACAGCGTGCCAAATGGCGAGGATGCTTGACCGGGTGCCTTCAGCTTAGCGAGTCCAGTTAAACTATCAAGGTCAGCATCAATGTCGAAAGTCGTCAAACCCTAGGCTATTGATTTTGGGGAAGTGTGTGACGCTACAGATCACTCCCCCCTAGTGGGTTCGTGAGGACCCTAAGACGATACCAGCCGGAAGTAAAAACCCAGTGGTTTCTCCACTGGTAAAACTCTTCCGATGGGCTCACTGCGTGAAGTGGCCCCTGGTTGTCTGAACTTATTCTAGGGTGTCGTGGCAATTAAAAAATAAAATACAATAAATCGAATTGTACGTCGATCGCGGTCCTCAGTTTTCTTTGACGTTCCGTCCAGTGCTCGTTGCACCTGGAATATAAATAAAAGTCTTTAATACCACGAAAACGTTTCGAAAAATGGGAATTATGTATATACAAATATATCGAAAATAAAGTTTACGCTTATTTCCACCGTTTTTTAAAAAAGTTTCATTACATGGTAATAAAAAATTGATATAAAAAGGCAAAATGTACGAGGATTTGCTCATTGCCGGTAAATAAGAAAAATAGTGCCTCGAAAAAAAATTTGAATGTAAAAAAAATATGGTTGGCACATTTTATTTCACACCACTAAGTTGAATACGACTTTAAATACTCCGGGAACCTGACGGTTCGACCTGATCGTGTTTTCTGTTGCGCCGATGGTTGTTGCAGCTGTGCATTACCAGGCACATCGTCGAGAATTTCGATAATTGAGCCATCCGTCGGTCGGCTGTAGCGAGCTGAAACGTCACTTATAATGGGGTTGCCTTCGAAATAAGCTGGTTTCAAACGGTCGATACTGACAGTATCTTCACGTCCGTCTCGCTCAATTATATAGAATTTCTCGTGTCGCTTGATCACTTTGAATGGCCCGTCGTAGGGTGGTTCAAGTGGTCGACGAACGGCGTCGTGGCGAATAAACACGTGTTTTTTGTAAACTGGGGTGAACGAAGACATCAGTCGTTTGAGGTCTAATCGGAGAAGGCCTAACTGAACGCATTGCGTTTGTAAGCCTAGTCACGTAAGATGCCCTGTCGGAAACATGTTTGAAAGTTGAAGGGGAAACAAACTCACCTGGTAGGCGAAGAGTGGTCCCATAGACGAGTTCTGCAGGAGTGCATCCAGCATCAACTTTCAACGCGTTACGAATACCTAGTAGGACTAGAGGCAGAGCCTCGGTCCACTGAGGTATGTTTGCAGCTGAAAGGGAAGCTTTCAGCTGTCGATGGAAACGCTCTACCATGCCATTTGCTTGTGGATGGTAGGCTGTCGTTCGGAACCGAGTGCAACCTAAAAGTGCCGTTAGAGCGTGAAATAATCCACACTCAAATTGGCGCCCACGGTCGGTTGTGACGTAAGATGGACATCCGAAGTTCGCGATCCATCTTTCGACGAAAACACGAGCAACTGTTTCAGCAGTAATATCTTAATAGGTACTGCTTCCGGCCATCGTGTGAAACGATCAACACAAGTGAAAAGGTAGGTACATCCATTAGATTCTGGTAGGGGTCCTACAATATCTATATGGACGTGGTCGAAACGCATGTCTGGGGCTAAAAGGCTTTTCGTGTGTCGCGTGACTTTACACTTTTGACAAGCTAAGCACGACTGGCCCACTCCTTAACGTCTTTGTTCATCCCAGGCCAGCAGAAACGTTGTGCGATAAGCCTAATGGTGGCTCGTACACCTGGATGAGAGAGTTTGTGCAACGTATTGAAGACGTTGCGTCGACAACTCTTCGGAACTATTGGGCGTGGTTGACTAGCAGAGACATCGCACAAAATTGTATCCTTGTCTGATCCAACCGGACAAAGTCGCAGTTTGAGAGTTGTGGACGACAACTCATGATGCAGCTCAAGGTCTTCCTTTTGACGCCGAGCTAGTTCAACGAGATCAATACCCTCGATATGATTTATCGAAGCTATTCGAGATAGTGCGTCGGCTGCGGAGTTGTTTGCTCCAGAAATGTGGCGGATGTCTGACGTGAACTGGGAAATGTAATCCAGCTGTCGCGACTCACGAGGGGAGTATTTGTCAGACGCCGAGCTGAGGGAAAAGGTTAACGGTTTGTGGTCTGTGAAAATAATGAAATCACGACCTTCCACAGAATGTCGAAAATGGCGTACAGAACAGTACATGGCTAGGAGTTCCCTACCAAATGTACTGTATCTTGTTTCCGCGTCTTGCAGCCGCCTCGAGAAAAAGGCTAACGGTTGCCACTGGTTGTCAGTCAACTGTTGCAAAACTGCTCCAATTGCTGAATCAGATGCATCAACAGCAATACTCAAAGGAGCATTGGGGTCATGATGCATAAGCATGGTTGCGTTCGAAATGGCTTCCTTGACTTTGGAAAAAGCAAGTCTAGCCGCGTTGTCCAGAGACACGAACTTCGCAGTTCCTCGAAGTAGATCTGTTAGTGGTCTCATGACAGAGGCACAGTTAGGGATAAACCTTCGGTAATAACTTACCAGGCCATTGAAAGTGCGGAGATGTTTCACAGTGGTCGGCTCTGGATAGTTTGTGATAGCCGCCACTTTATCTCTCAATGGGCGTATACCTTTGTTGTCAATGGTATGCCCAAGGAAGCTGAGTGATTCAACTCCTATTTCACACTTCTGTAAGTTGACTGTGATGCCATGTTTTTTAAGTCTTTCGAATGCGAGGTCCAAATGTTTAAGGTGAGTTTCCTTATCTGGACTCGCAATTAGACAGTCATCGATGTAGACATGAAAAAAATTCAAACCACGGAAGACGTCATACATAAAGCGTTGGAATGTTTGTGCTGCATTCCGAAGACCAAATGGCTTGCACTGGAGTAGTTCTCGGAAAAGGCCATGTCGAATGTTCGTGCGCCGATTACTTCTCGCATGCGTGCGATGACGTCAGTAGCTGAGTGGCTGCCTGGCTCGATGTTACGAAGTAATTCGTCTAGGCGCTGGCGATCTAGGAGATCACTTCTCTTCAGGAGAGCAGCATTGAGAGGTGCATAAACATCACTTACTTCAGGATTAAACGTGTGTGCCGTAACATGTTTGTTTAATTGCCGCGGTAGTGGACGTATGACAGCAAGAAATCGAGAATGAGGATCTGAGACGCCCTGTTCTCGAAAATCTGCCTCGACATACAGAAACCGTGTTTCTGCATTGTCTGGCCAATATGGCACGAGTTGCATCGTGTTCGTAGTCGGCTTAATACGAATAAGCTTGGGAGTGTGGTCGGACATGAGAAAGTGTAGTGAATGGATATATAAATGTTATCGAAATGAAAACAATATACAAATATAAGATGGATTAGGCTCACCAATTCTATATTTGCTATTGGTCGGGATATGTGATCGCGTCGGGCTCACCAATTTAGGATTTGTCCTGGTGCGAATTTGACGGACGCAAAGACCAATCACTAATTATTCAGACTTGCTATATACCCACGAGTACGAGACCAAGGAAGAACACGATAGCGCAGTCGGATGGAATAATATATTTGAATGGTTGTGCCAAGATACAGATGCGTTCCAACTAACTGACTAGAGAGTCGAATACGAGCAGTGCAACGTAACACGACAGCGTGCCAAATGGCAAGGATGCTTGACCGGTTGCCTTCAACTTAGCGAGTCCAGTTAAACTAACAAGGTTAGCATCAATGTCGAAAGTCGTCAAACCCTAGGCTATTGATTTTGGGGGAGTGTGTGACGCTACAACATAATATTTGCTGCACGGAATGTGTCCAACTTGAACTTGACTTTCTAAGAGGGACGCTTGCGGTAAACGTCTATCCTAGCCAGCTTATCGATAAAAATATGCTAGAAAGACATGCAAAGCCAGTCATTGGTTCAGTTCCTGAGAAAACTTTGTGCATGACTGTGGAATGTAAAGGTGATGGAGCGTCAGATGTCATGAAAAATCTTCCCAGATGAATTAGTAGAACTTTTCTAAGCGAAACTTCATTTGATCTTTACCAGTCGTAAATTGTTCTCCGTGTGTGTTTAAGACAGTATCCCTCTACAGGCCACATCCATATGTATGCACCAGTTTACCTGCTCCTATGGAGCAAGGTACATCGGCGGTAGTCAGAGATTGCTGTGAATACGTATACGAGAACATATTCTTGTCTGGTTTTCCAAGGGTGAAAGGAAATGCATCAGAAGTCCTATCTGTAGACATTTAATCGATCCCAACCATCCAACTGACCCAAACAATGATTTTAAGGTTGTCTATCGAGTTCGCTCAAATGTCTCATATTTCCTCCGTATTCAACTTCTAAAAACAACAGAGGCCTTGACCGTCTACGAACCGAAGCCGTGACCTTTGTATGGAAATGAAGTATGTGGAGTCTTTTTCTCTACCTTGGCCTTAACTTATTTTGGTCTTGGTTTGCTTCATCCCTTCCTTGTTGTTTTAACTTCACCTTTTGTCAGATTAATCTTTGTACTCTTATATCGTCATTATCATTTTATTTTTATATTTAATTGTTTCCGGTGTTATTTCATTTGATCTTTCTGATAATTACAACTTTTAGCAAAGCATTTTCAATTTATTCCAATTAACTTGTCTCATTCATATTACCTAATTCTTTGCTTGTTCATTAACTCTGTCACATTTTCACCCCTTTATAAACAATTTAAAAATCTTACTTAACTCTTTTCGTTATCATTTAACTACATAGTTTCTAGAATCCTAAAATTTATGATTATTCTGTCATGAAGTACTTTCAATGTTTGTTTGTGTGATAAATATAGAACAATCGTATTGTCTATAAACAGTTAACTGTAGCTTGCCATAAAACCTCACGTCCCATTTTAATCTGTTTGTTAGAAATATCACACAGTGAAACAGTAGCATTTACTGGACAACGTTTTGGACACAATTTATTGTCCCTATTCATATCAGGTGATATGTACAATAAGTTGTGTCCGAAACGTTATCCAGTAAATGCTACTGTTTCACTGTGTGATATTTCTAATAAACAGACTAAAATGGAATTACAATCGACCACAGTGCCCAAGTTTTACTCTTATATTAATAAAACCTTACATCATTTTGGATCTGAGCCTCCAGTTTACTTCGAAACGCCGATGGCAGGTAAGGTGCTGGTTAAACCAGTTTTCAAGCTTTCAGACTAAAACATGACAGCAATGTGCTTTTTGACTGAATTTTTGGCTGTTATATTCGAAAGTGTAGTCCTTTAACTATGCGGTCATTTGCCTGCAAATCACTGACTGAAATGCTGAATTGTTTATTAATGATAATGGTTTAGTCTTCAGTAGAGCTTCAGTTTGGTAACCTTAAGGCCTTTCGTTTAAGTCTTGCTAAGATAAACGTTTGTTTCAACTCCTTTCAAATGTCCGTCTACTAGCCAAATCTTTGGTTCCACTAGAAATGAAAAAGGATAGCCAGAAAACATCAACGTAGAACCTTGCAAACAAGTACATCGGTTCATAATGAAAACTGACTTCGGTTACTTTCGTTTAAGATGTGATGGTTAACTTGTGAGTAGTTGAAAGTCAGTGGTATTATTTTCTCACGCGTGAAAGTCACTATACACGGACTGGTTCTCACTAAGTTTTTCTACTGAAATAACGTGGAATGAATGCCCAAACAAATATACATTTGTTTTTAAATATACCCGTTAGTGTAAAACGGATTACAGTCAGAACACAGTCTCGATATTTGGATATGACTTTGGATAAGTCATTCTATAGTATTTGTCTGACTTAGTCTTTATTCACACATAGGTCAAGACAAAGGAAAGATATCAGGCTTTCTTGAAAGACTGAACATAATTTCATATTTTGTAGTGATATATTATTTTGTCTCTAATTAACGCAAATATGATAGTGAGTAAATTGTAAGAATGCAGAATTCGACTGGTTCTATGCTTTATCATGTGTTAACCTAAATTATGATTTTGGTTGTGAAATTAAGAACCTGATATACCCGGTTTAGTGAATTGGGTAATACTTCGTGATGGAACTTCTGCTCACTGGTCTAAGTAGTTTACTTTCAGCCTTCGGGTCAGAGATTTGAATCACGCTCCACGTTTTTGAGGTCTTAATGATAATTTCTGATGATCGTGTGGTGAGAGAGAGAGAGCACTGTTGATCAGTACATTTAGCCGGTAATAGGTATGCGTATATTCTGTTAGAGCTATTAGTTAGACAATATAATAGTTGTCAGTCAAATGTTTTTTATCCACAACAAGATTTCTTTGTTCACCACTCCATCAGAATTTATGTGACTTTTCAAATAAGTGAAGTAGTCAGTGGGTTTAACCACTCCACTGCATATTGTGGTGTGTTATCGATAGAGACCATTGCTAAAGCAAAAATTTAGATTTCGTCGTAGATAAGTCCAGTGTAAGATTAACATTTAGGCACTATGGGGAAGTATAGTTCCATATTAAATGATTTTATATGATGTAGTACGTTGAAACAGTACTGGTAACCAATAGAGATGATATAGCTATTTCAAACACAACCGAATGTGATGTTTTTGTTTAGTAAGGTTTCTTGATTGATGTAATTGGTTGATCACTTCAGAAGAGAACATAATTACAGTTGGTATCTGGCTACTATTTCATATATCTACTTTCAAAGTTGCTTATTTTCTAAAATTGGGCATCATTTTTTCATGCGATTTTCTGTATTTATTTTTCTTTTTTTTTCACCTTTAGAAACTCTGTACGTATGGCTGTCCGTAAACTAACATATGCACCGAATGAACCAGGTCAACAACCGTCGGCTGAATTATCACGAGATTTTCTGATGAGTGTGGGTAGCCTTCGGGTTGAAGCTACTTTAGACAAAAATGTAAGTCTTTTCTATTTACTTGTTATGATTATTACTTATTGGTTGGATATTTCATATTTATTGATTTGTATTCAGCATATTCCATTGAGAAGTTAATTACTTCCACTTAGGATGTTTGCAAAATACACGTATTTATTCACATTAATTAAACTGCAAAACTTTGTCCAGAACGAACCATTTTTTTTTCTATAACTTGTTTCTTCAATATACTTTCCTCAGCTTTTTGTCGTATTCACAGATGATGCACACATAGAATGTAAAACATCCAACCTATGACTGGTTATTTTTTTGAAGCAGACTTTCTTATTACATTTTTATACCAAATTGGTAACGATTCAATGTTTAGAACGTTATTTTGCATTGACTTGTGTAGTTTTCAGTAGGGTTATCGTTTTGAAAAACGTCCAGCTATCAACTATTGGTTTCAACAACATTCAGTGAGTGATGACCATCATTGATCTCTCCAGTTTTCATGTTGTGTATATAAACTTGTTTTTGCACATCATTTTCATTTTGTTTGATAGTTATAGTACCCTTATTAGTTTAGATCTTGGCATGCCAACTTCAGCGGAGTGTATATTCTACATATTTGTTTTGCTATGACCATCACTGCTTTAAATCAAATCTAAAGTCTCGTGTTTTACATATCGTGTTTATTTTTGGTTGGAATTTTTTGACTGAATAAACTAGCCAACACCTTTCTTAATCCGACAAAATGTTTTATACTCCTACCAGTATAAAATCTGTGTTCCCAATCGGATATACAATGTCTACACTTAGTTAACCTCCAGTATTTTTATGAGATTTTAATTCATCAATGGAGTCTTAGGGTGAGTAACAAGTGTTACTCACTGTGAAGTCAAAGCCGTGGCTAGTGAAAATAAACTAAAGTAATTCGAAAATAGAATCTTATGTACTAACAAATGCATATTTCGTGAATGGAGAAAAAAAATAGCATATGAAGTGTATTTTTATTATTTCTGTGTGAGTATGTTGTCATAGACCCAGCAACTGGCTTCTGTGTTGCTTTAGAGAGCAGTGGAGGTCAATGAAACTATTTCGTTGTTCATCAAAATTCTGATTAATTTTTGGGCCTTAGTTTTTCGGAAGGTAATAATTTGATTTTATCTTCTAGTCTTATGGAAACAAACTTTATTTATGTAACAGAACTCTGTTAGTTACTGTTAGATAAACAATGCAGGTATGATTCGGAATGGAATATGTTCTCATGTAATTCAGTGAAAGCGGAATTCTGAAACTGCTGTTTTTTCTTCTTAGTGTATAATGTAAATTTTTAAGTTCATGTGAAATCAAGACAGCAAATTATAGTATTTTGTTGTTGGTTACTTTTGCAAAAACGTTCAACTGATATCATTGACGTAAAGGTTTCAGACAGAGCAAAGCGGATGACTGTGATCTGATTTCGAGAATTACTTATTTTGATTTCCGCTTATGACTTCTGTTATTGTCTATAGATGTTTAGGCTATCTATCACAACTGAAAATTCATGCTGGTGTATACTGACAAGTACAAAGCCAATTTGTAGGTGATTGTCACAGTTGTTTTTAATCTTGAATGTTGTGTAAATCAACATATTTGTCATAACTTTAAAAAAAAACCGGTAGACTTTAGTAAGGATCGAATAACATAACGTGTACCTGGTGATTGTTGTAATTTTATTGGATGTCAATGGATCACATGGAATTAGATACTGTCCATTCAGTTGTCATTTTTCCCTAACCAACCGTAGAGAGGTCTTTCATAGCGCACAAGTCTCGTTTGTGATTTTCGTTCTAACTTGTCAGGTTGAGGTAGTATGTTTGCGATGCATTTCACACCCGTCAGATGTAAGGTGATGCTGCAGGACTGGTCTGCAACTACTCTCAGTCTAATAATCGAGAGTGAAGTGATGGAATATGTCGACCGCTTCATTGTATCAGTCTGAACTACCTGGTTGATTATGAAATCTCAGCTGGGATACAGAAGGCTCGTTTGGCATTTGACAATTTGCATCGTCTGTGGCGCCGGCGAGATATCCAACTATTTATCAAAGGATGGATATACTATGCTGCATTCCATTCTGTCCTGTTGTACGGCTGTGAGACATGACCGTTAAAAGTAGAAAATATGAAGCGATGACAGGGTTTCGGCCACACCTGTCTTCACAGCATTTCTCGCGTTTGATGGGGTCACCGTGTGAGCAATGTTGAGGACAAACGAAGGGTTCTAGACAAAAGAGGTAAGTCGGTTGATGAGGTTTTAAACCTTAGTCGACTGAGATGACTTGGACATGACTGCACATGCCGAGCCACCGGCATCCTCAACATACCCTACCAGGGGAAGCTGATTAGGTGGGAAGTGGGTTCCGAGTAGCCATATCAAGATGTGACACTAGTCAATGAAGTCCATGGCTGTTGGTCAGGGTTACATTGGGAGATGTAAACCACATGGCTGGAGTCGTCGAGACGCGATAGGAATCAGTGTTTTATAACTCTTGGTGAAATGGCTGACAATCGGTCTTATTGGCAGAGATGCACTCACTCTTTGACGTCTTTTAAAGCTTGAGTATTTGCGCTGGTCATTGTCTTCAAATTGCTTGTTCTCTTGCGACTTTGTCTACTTTGATATCAGTGTTTTTGTATGCACTTGTTCTTTGTATACTACTGTGAAGTGTAGCAACTTGAACCGATGGGCTTGTGTGCGAGGTTCTACGTTGATTCTGTCTGTCTGGGTTCCCTATTTTACTGGTTCATGTGTTCCTTAATGGGTGAGTATGTTACTATTCCTATCTATTCTTTCTATTTTGTCATATCATTGAATTTCTCATATTAGTTTAAGGAGTATTTTTCTTCAGCGCTGTTTTTCACCAGTCGGTAGCGTTGTTATCACATACTCAGCGTACGTATGCATAAATCCCATGGTGATTTATGATTTTACTGTCCATCATAAAACATTTCAAGTGATAGGTATCTGGAATTTCTTACTATGAGTAATATATATATATATATATATATATATATATATATATATATATATATATATATATATATATATATATATATATATACCTCAGTCTCATGTATTCAAATATAGTGTGTATTTATGCTTTAAAGCGAATGGAAACGGTCAATTAGGAACGATTTTATGTTCGTAAACTGTCCTACAAGTTTATCTCAACTGTGAATCTGAAAGCAGCTTTTTCTCTATTGACACTCCAGATACATGTTACTGATTTGTGATTAAAAGTTAATCAACATAAAGGTTTTGTACATTTCCATATAAAATCACAGTCTAAACAAACTGCTCAATATATTTAGACCAAGATTAAGGAATTCGGTAGAATTCTGGTTGCATTTTTGGTAAGCAGTTTTTACAGTCGATTGGTATCCAAACTTACGGCTAACTGAAAATCTAAAGTATAGTAGAATAATGAACTAACTAGCCAACCAGCCTGTTGTTTGTACGATTTTTAATTACATGCACCTCAGTAGCCTTGTAAAGGTGTGTGTGAAAGTTTATGATAGTATTTTGTTTTTCACGTTGCTATATATATATGTATATATATATACCATAGTGAACTGTCATAGCATTCTACTTGTATTGCTATGAGAGTTCACTATGGTAGACCTGGCTTGCATTAGTTGTGTGTTATCAAGACATTGTGCATTGTACTGCACACCTCACTGATTAACGCCTTACATATTTTGATATTCGATATACGTATCTTCTTTTATCGTGTGCTTATTTAATGTGGTTTTGTGTTAGTGTACTCTAGTTTAATCGATTCTTCTAAAAGCGGTTTTACATTGTTGAACGAAATACTATTTATGATACCATTGGCTTTATACTTCCGTTTTATTACAAAGTGGTGTGCGTGCATTGTAGTTAAACTTCAAGTGGTTTGAATAAATTATTTTATTTCAAATCTCATTATTTACTGTCTGTTGTTATGAGTCATTAAGTTCGAAGTGTGATGCATTTCACTATCACATTTTGTTGTTCAAGGACTTATGAGCATTTTCGAGTGTTACAAGTAGCTATTTTAAACGGAATTCATAAGAAATGACGGGTAAGCTGAATGAAACTCAACTCCCTCTAGGTTATCGACGTGACTCTCTACTGATTGTAATACCAAGCGAGAAAATCAATCCGGTTTTATATCGGTTTCACCTATCGACTATTGTTCTCATTTGTCATCTGAATGATATATGAACATTTGTTCGTTCTTCATCGCACTAGCTATAGTATTAGGTCTTCTGTATCTTACCCAAATCAACCTGAATTAGATGCAAGGTTGGATTATTTATTTATTGGTCTATCAGAGATGTTGTTTGATAGGTTGGTTTATGTATTCTTTGTTCTTAAATTCCAGTCGGTAGAAAGCATGGGTGAACCAGAGACTACTGGTTTGAATCTTGACTGGATTGGTGATGTATTTTGACTTCAGTCAACGCCCCTTTACACATAGTTTATTCATTTACAAATGTCATTATATTCATGTTTTTTTGATGCTACAGGTACGATTTTAAGGTGGATTGTTACACGGAAATGCATCATATGTTGGTTTACCGCTGTAACATAGTTATATATTTATATTTTCAAGAAGTAGAAAGCATGTGTATTGGTAACGGTATCAGTAGTAATAGTAGTAGTAGTATTACTAGAAGGAGAGGGTATGTAGAGAAACTGGCTTTCCTTATAAGTACATCAGTGCTACAGCTTTGCAATAATCATGATCAAATAGTATTAAGGTCGGATAAAAATGTCACTGCATCTTCAAGCTATTCACACTGCTTTATAGTAATAAAATGACTAGTTGTTAAGGTGAATAATTGTTTATCTATGACAATAATTTCAACCCATCCTAATAACTATACTCAACACTAACAATATTATTAGCTTGTCAAGATCTATGATTTCTGTGTATCATTTCACGCTCCAGGTTTTGTTTATTTGACTGTCTGAAATTGGCGTGGTTGAACAAAGAGATGATTGAAGGTGAGGTGAAAAACTATGATGACGATGAACGGACAGTTACATTTCATGCACTTACATAACAACCAGTAAAGGTTCTAACCGATTGAAGTAGAATTTAGAACTGGTCAACAGCTGGTTCTTGCACCTTAGTTAGTGAAGCACTGGGCAGGTTATCCGGAGGCTACTGGTTTGAGTCCTGCTGCAACCTAGATTTTGATCTCTCCATTCATTAGCCATGTCTTTTGCTAGTGACATTATGAATAGATTTTGCAGTATTCTATCAATGTCAGTGAGTACATTTCATTTTTGTTATCGGTTCACAGTTTATACATGCTTGGGACTTCTAATAGAACTAACAATTTCAATATAAAGGTAGATATGTAATTATCGAATATAACAGCTTCTAATTCAAATTCTAATTCAAAGCAAAGTTCGGAGATTAGTTTGTTGAAATTTACTTCGACTAAGGAGCATAAAATGTAACTGTAGCCTGGTGATTTAAATACGTTTACAATACCAGTGAAGTAGTATGTTGAAATCTTAAGCCAAGCCAAAGGCAGTTATGTCATAAAAGGCGAAAGAAATGAACAATGCACAAGGGACGAGAAAGGGTGCAGAGACTTTACAGAAATGTAAGAAGTAATAATTACTTTTCGACGATCAAACTTCTTGAACATACCTGCAAAACACCAGTTTACAAACTGTTGATTTCACGTTCAGTCCAATACTTTTCGATGTATTCATGTCATTTTTATCGACGTAACTTTGTGATTTACATAAAGATTTTGTATGGTATAGAGATTTATTTAAGCTCTATGGGTATTACTACAGTAGCAGTGTGTTTGTTACTATGTTAGTCTATAAGTCGTATGGTACTTCTGTAGATTGATATCGGGTGTTTGAAGGGAATTGGCATGGCTTTGCGCTTGAACTTCGTCAGTTCGCGACTACCATTACTATATGATTAGAAACCACTTGACGTCAATATTTTCTCTTATCGGTTCAAGTTCCCTCTGTTTTATTTTCGCGTGTTAAGTGTATCAAGAGTTTGTTGCATGAAAATATCATGGCAGTGAGATATAACCATGATACCACTTTATGGGACCTTTCGTTGTATCAGTGCGATTCAGATGAAGATGTGCTGTTTCCTCTCCAAAGTTGTTGTATTTATTTAGTGAAATTCGGTGGTAATATTTCATAAGGCAGTTCAAATTGTATAGCAATCGTTAGTGTTTGCCAAATTCCTAGCGGTGATTTGTCTTAATTTTGTTTTTCTACTCTTGTTTACCTACCACCATCCTTCTCTGAATGTCCCATTTCCAGCTCTTATTCCCCTTCTTGATTATTTCATCTGGTGCTGCTTTTGTATATTTTGTGAGATGTTAGACTTGATGCATTGTTATTCCGATTTCTTTTTTTCCATTCAGTCAATCACCAAACATTTTATCATTTATATATGCATATCTCGTCTTGGTATTTATCGTTTCCTAATTTATGCTTGATTTTGTTCGTTTTCAATTTCTTATTTTGTTGTTCATGATTGCGTGTTTTCCTTTTTTAATGGATGGTTTTTTATTTTTATTTTTCTTAATTTCTTTAAGGTAAGCAACGGAAAATTTCTCATTACTTTGTATTATTCATTCGTTTACCCGTGCGTTTCTTCTTTTTTCCTGTCTCTTTTTGTTAAGAAATATTATCATGGAGAGAAAATATTTGTCAACTTACTTGTAGATAATAATTCTAATAAAACAATCAAACGTATCAAATTGTCAGGTGAGTGTAACGCTAGTCATTGTGGTGACAATATTATTATTAGACTTTTATTTACCTAATGTTTACTTATTTTCTTGTGTTGATAGAGGCTTCCTTTCTTGTTGTTTCATGCAAGTGCCTTTTTTGTAAATTACAGACTATAACACGAACTGAACGACAATCTAGGGACTTATAGTTGTTGGTTTATGAATAATATCTAGTGTATGGAGAATAGTGATACTAATTCCATATGAAAACGTACAATTTAGTGATTGAAGTGAAATAAAAACCTGGTCAACAGTCGGACCTCGTAGAGCATCAGGCCAGGAACCCGGTGGTCGCTGGTTCGAATCCGACCGCTATCCAAATTTTCATTTCACCTTCAATCATCACCCAGTATAAGTACTAGTCTGCCAAACTACGACTATCTCAGATAGTCGAATAATAATTTAATGGTTGTCATGGAGTTCCAACAGTAACACACAACTTTATGCATATACTAATGAATGCAAACTTCACTAACAAGTTGGAGGGTCTAATTTTCTCGATTATTAGTTATAATTCAAGAATCTATTTTTGAAACATCTTTAAATTAACTGTAATTAGCGTAACTATGATATTCAGCTTCACACAAATCTTAAATTTACTAGTATGATGCATAGCTGTATTGATCTGGTTTGCTCAATTAAATGATTGCCAATTTGATACCCAAAATATAACCTCACAATGTACAGGTATGTTGGTACAGTTGATTAAGTGTCACAGTGGTCCATCACATATTAGTTTGATAACTCAGAAAACTTGTTGTAGCACATAAAGATACCGCATTATTTACTTCATGACGTTTTGAGCACAGTTTGTCGCTCATAATCATATCACACACACTCTGGTTTGTGTTTGTCTTAATATGATCAGTAGTAAATTGTTTTCTAAATGTCATCCAGTAAATAATACCATATCACTGTGTGCCATATCCAATAAACTCATTGAATATAGTGGTGGGAGTTTTTAAAATCGATGCATTGGTGGCCAAAACATTTTTGCATCGTTACTCAATTATAATTTTTGTAACGGGCTTTTAGGACTTTGTCAAACAAAGACTAGGTGATAATGGATGCGATTTCAACTCAAATCTGTAAACACGTTCAGCTTTCAGGAATAATAACTGATTAAATATTTTACTGTGCAGGAGTTCATAAGCATCTAGGAGCTACAGATTAATGTAAATGGCCTCAGTGAATACTCGAATGACAGAATCGCTCAGATTATTTGTATATTCCGTAAGGTATTTTCAGAGTTTGCAGTCGTCAGAAGTAGCATTTCGAAAATTTTCAGTTTATGATTCGGTACACTCTGTAATAGTTATGTGGTAGTGTTCAATATAGACTTGTAAGTATCGTGATAGACTCAACTTACATAATATCAAAAATACTTTTCAAATGCACCATTCTATTTCAATGAAGTACCAGGGCGAATCATCATAGTGTAATAGTACCCGCATACGATATAACTTCTGTAATACCTTGAAGAAGCATGCGTTTTATGACCATCCTATTGTCATTCAAATACATTTGATTTGAAGACAAAAAAAAAACGTGAGATTTTACTGCATACGTAAATGGATATGCACGGTTGGTTTAACAGTCTGTTTTATGAACAGTGAGTTATGGAAAGATTTTTTGAAGTCCTGTCTTTCTGTAATGTAAATCTCACAATTGCATTTCTCTTAGTGAATTAAGGTTGTAAAAACATGTGAAGGAAAAATAGGTGAAGAACAAAGATAGTGTGTTCGTAATTCTTGTTCTCACACATCCTTAGATTAATGCAAATAAAAAAATTTTTTTCTCATAGTTCGACAATACACTCAGGTCTTCGTTCAAAGCCCTATCCAATTCAAATGTTCTGTTGATGAGATTCAGTCAGAGTAAGTATTGTGGTCATTTCTATTTTTTGCTCAGCGTAGAACTGTAATATTTTTTCGTTGGATTTTATTTCATCCGTGATCAATGTCTTTCTCATTCCTGACGTCATGAGGTTAGGGTAATACAACCGATTTTTACTCATACCTTAGTTTCCGCCAAGTACTATTTTACAACTCTTTTCACTGTTGTATAGTCGAACTAATATTCAGCTAATTATACAGATGTATGCATTGTGTTAGATGTAAATTTGAATCGACAGAGTGACCTGATGATTAATGAGGCAATTTTCATTTTCTACTTTGAGGATTCATGCTTATATATATATATATATATATATACTACAGTGAGACAGTATTATTATTACTATTATTACTATTACAGTATTATTATTGAGGACGTTTCGAGCAGAATTTATTTCTCATAGTCACATCAATGTAATCATTCAGCTTTTTGGCCTAGTTTTTGTAGTTCTGTTATTTTTAATTCTTTGATATATTTGGTAGTAAAGTGTCGATTCGATAAACAAGGCTTTGGTTACCAATCTCTCCTTCCACTTACCCAAGTTGTCTTTTAAAATTGTCACTATCTCTATTATGTGGTTGTATGTGACAGGATACAAAGCTATGAGAGTTCTTTTCTCGATTTCTTATCTTATTAGGATCCACAGTGCTTTGTTTAGCTAGATTTATATGTTCTGCTGTCTTAGTGACCTTAATCGGCTAGTTTGATTCATGTATTTGAACTAACAGTCATCACTGGGGATTTGGTAAACCAAGTTGTTTTGTTTAACGAGTTCGATCGTATCCTTTAGCTGACAAAATTTGTCTCCATGTTGGTTTGTAGGTTTAAATGCCACTTTAATTTCCGACTTTATTCAGAATCCTACTTAGGGTTTGTATATTTAGTTAAGATTACGAGCAATACAATTTCCCCAAACTTTATCAGTAAATAATAATACTGTTTCACCGTATGATACATATACAAAAATAACTATCATGGAGGTATATTCTACTACGGTGCCCAAATTCTATTCTCATATTACTGTTTGCACTCAGTTTTTATTGCCTGTTGTTAGGATTATGTTATAATTGACTCGGTGGTCCCTAGCAGTGATATCCAGGTCGACTAGTTCACCCCAACACAACAGCGAGGAATTACAAGTATCAATAAGTAATGCTGTTTAGGATTGTTGTTGTTCTACTCCTCAACAACTTCCTCATTATTAACCTTGGATCTTTTGATTTAGATAACTAGATTGAAATGTTTATTTGCTTAACAATTATATCATAAACTCAAGCTCTGTACACTGTTTCGCTATTTGTACTTCCCAATGAATGTAAGATTAAAAAAGGTTTTTTTTTAACTAGCATTCCGCTACTGAATTCTAATAGCTTTGTCAAAGTTACACTAAACTGAAATATACAGTATCCAAGCTTATACAACATAATAACTTGCTTTGAGTCTTTCTACATGGATGATTCTACCTACTCAAATTGTTAAGAAAGATGATGACCATATGAGTGTTATGTGTAATAAGTGTGCGAATTGCAGATAAGAATTTGTTTATACACATGTACAAACAGTTCTAATCGCATGTGTTTTTATGTCAGAATGGGGGGGGGGGGTCAAACCAGGTCAATCTACATTTTATTTGCTGTCTCAACAATTTTGGTTCCACTGTAAACGAAGAGATTCCGCTATTTAGACGTTCCTTATAGTTTTTAGAGCCTTTCTGAATGATTTTGATATTGTCAGATTCGGTTTTGTGACCTGAAATTATGGCATGTGGAGCTATGGCTGAAGTATTTTCAAACTCTTTCAGTTAAGGTGAGTTTCTGGGGGCTGAGTGGAAGCTTTTCGTATTCATTTTTTCCAACCTCTATTTCATGCGAGGTTTCTCCCATGCATACTGCATCAAAACTGGCGCGGAGTCATGCTCTTGTCCACCCCAACCAAAATATTATGCCACATTATCCTGGAGAGATTAAAGATCCTCTGCATTCAAAATTACGACCGGGGTAGGCTGGCTGGCTGACTGGCTGGCTTCAGGAAGAACAAATCGTGTACGGATCAAATTGCAACGTCACGCTACGCATCATCATAGAGCCAAGCATAGAATGGCAGTCAACTCAACTCAAGTCAACCGTAACTTCATGGATTTTGAAAAGGCCTTTGACAGCTGCTTCAACACAATGGTTTTAGTGCCACAAACCTTTATTAACTTCATTCGACAGCTATATGCTATATGATGAGGCTGCATGTGAAGTGATTCATAATGGAGAGCTCAGTGATGCGTTTTGAGTGGAAGTGAAGACAGGAAGGAGTAAGAGAAGGTTGCCGCCTACTATCACCGATGATTACGGTCGACTGGACAGGACTGGGTTGTGCAACAAAGTGTGAGGAGCAAGAAGAGAGGCATACGTTGTTTGATCTATGAAAAGATCCTAGAAGATTTGAATTTCGCGGTGGATGATGATTTGGGGGTAATGTCTTGTCGCACAAACTCGAAGATCTACAGGTGTAGACCAAGAAGTTGACAGGAGAGGAGAGGAGAGGAGAGGAGAGGAGAGGAGAGGAGAGGAGAGGAGAGGAGAGGAGAGGAGAGGAGAGGAGAGGAGAGGAGAGGAGAGGAGAGGAGAGGAGAGGAGAGGAGAGGAGAGGAGAGGAGAGGAGAGGCGAGACGAAGCAGGGAAGGAAGACGGGACTTCGTTCAGGTAGGTGAATGTGTAGAGGACAGAGGTAGAGGTGATGAAGATAGCCAACCAGCGAGCCAGCCAGCCAGCCAACCAACCAACCAACCAAGGAACAGCATCAACAGCAAGCACCACTCACCATGAACGGGAGAAACGTACCCAGGTAGGTCAGCATTGTTTCAGCTACAGGTGGCGGTGGTACAGATGAGGATGTGAAAGCAGCCATGATCGGAAAGATAGTGAGACAGGCCTTCATTAATCTGAAACCGATATGGAGATCCACTGCACTGCACTCAGGATAAAGCGTGAACAAGATTGGTATTTTCAATACTAATGTCAGTGAATTCAGTGCTTCTACTATGTGATGGTTGAGAGACTTGTCGATGCGTTAGGGAAAGCATTTCCAACAAACTAGAGACATTCATCAATAGCTACTGCCCACGCTCACTCGATGCTGAGGATGAGATGGCCAGAAGAATAAGAATAAGCAACAAGGAACTCACTGTGGCTGGCAACGAACCTACTAGGAACCCATCGGCGAACAAATGTGCAGAAGGAAGTGGAGATGGATTGGATTTGGGATAGACTGAGAAGACGGATTGGGGACATGACGCGCCTGACCAGGCCGTCGATTGGAGGGGAAATGGGAAAGAACGAGTTGGGTGTACGAGGCGAGCGTGACATGGAGGAGATGATGTGAGGAGGAAATGAAAGGTTGTGGGCAGTCATGGAGCCAGGTTGAGGAGACTGCAGAGAAGAGAGTGAAATGGAGTGGTGCTACCTTAGCCCTATTTTCAATGGGAACCTTAACGATACATGGTAAATAATAATAGTACTGCACCAAATTATGTGTATCTTATTTGATGAACAGAATTAGGTTGGGTATTTCGGTGAATGTTGTCTTTATAATTAACCAAAGGACTCCGAAGTGTGTTTGATTTTCTGTACGACTTCCTGATATTGCATTTGTGTTGGACAGTCTCCTACTCTTCATGATGTTTGACTTGTATCAGATGGCCATTGTTGTGACCCATACTCCAGTATTGTTTTTTTCAGTCTAGTTTTGTATTGTTTTTTTATTTAGGGAATGAGTTTTGCCGTGTAATTAGTCTTATGATCTTGTTTACATACTTTAATTCCTCATTTTCATCAGTTATTAGAGCATATGCCCAATTTAAAAGACTAGATGCAACACAGAACGTACTGATGGGATGCGATGAGGTTAAAAATATATATGTATTGAGGTGTTTTGCTTGTTTGGTCATGCTTAGTCATTCATTTTCTTTCCGCTCAAGTAGATAATCAAGGAAGGGTAGTTCGCCTACATCCGTTTCTTTTTCTGATCTTGATATTGGGAGATCTAGTATTTAACTGATTCCAGAATACGTGATACATGTCACTTTTTAAAACTGTAAACGTATCATCAACATATCTTAACCAGATTTTCAGCTTTAGTAAGTTTGCGAGGACATTTTATGCATATATACGCATAAACAGGTTTGCTACCATATGTGAAACAAGTGAACCTACACGGTTGGCTTGTCTGTATTGTTTCCTGTTCAATATGAAGAGATCGGTCTCTAAACAAACTTCAATGCTTTGATGATGTTACTGGTGGACGTTCTTCTGTCAAGGTGGTGTTTAAGTCTTATCAATCAGAAATAATATCTAGGCTTTCATCACTTAGATTCATATGATGAATCTTTATCTTATAGCTTACCATAATTCCATCTAAATCAACTTGAAGTGACGAAATTCTTGATTTAAAGTTGAGTGAATTCCTGTTTTTAGAAGGGTTTTAGCATTAAAAGGAGGTATTTGGATGGGTCGTAATTTCATGTGTTAGTAAATTCCGTGATTGGCCTCAACGGACCGGAAGTTTTTGAACTTTAGGTAGACCTTAGAATCATGAAGGTGTGTAGGACCTACTGATTTTGGGGTTAGTTCTTAAAGTAGTCTGTGTTGTTTCATTTTATTTTTTAAAATCTTATTATATTCTTACCTTTTCTGAGGGTTAGTTGTGATTTCTAACGCCGTTTCAGCAGCAGACTGTATATAACACCAAACTTCTTCGGGATGAGTGACTTTATCTCGTTCTGGTCACCGTCTACTAATTCCTACTTGAAAGCAACGTAGGTATTCTCATTATTGAGGTTCACTATGAACCGCCATACAGCTGTAGCTTTTATGGGCCAATTTAATCCCAGATATATCCGCGTTTGAACCAAAGTGTATTTGCTTCCCAAGCATATGCTTTAAAAAGAACGACAGTCTTCCACCAACCCTCTTCAACGGTGACTGATAACAATGAGGTCAATCTGTGTCCACCGCTGAGTTTATTTTGGTGGATACCACGTCAGACAATGTCTTTTTATGTCTGAAGTTTGTACTAGGTAGAAATAAATGGTTAGTAGTAGGCAATCACTGTTACCTGTTAGTTCGACTGGGAATCCCTAAAAAGCCACCTAAGTGCCTTTCTACCTGACTTGACCTACAAACTTGTGCATTGACATCATCTGCTACGATAACCACATCTGAACGTCTGAATTTCAGTAGGGGGCTAGACAGTTTTTGGTAGAACTTACGCTTCTCTTCATCCGAGCTGCAGTCAATGGCAAGTTTCACTGTTCTTTTTAGTCATCACTTCACTGTCCAATCAAACAGTACACAGGCGGTTGTCATCTGGCACATAGTTGAGCAGTGCACCTTTCTTAGCACTTGATGGTATACCTATACCTTCAAGACACCAAGAACTAGTCATCAGATTTTTACAAAAGGTTGAAAGGTGGGTTTCGATGATTTACCTTATTGATCGAATTAGGTTAAGTGAATCATCGCACTTGGGTCTTTTATGTATGTCTTGCAAACACAGCACACATGCATTGTCGTAGGTGCTGGATGGCCGATTCGACTGAATGTACGGGTACTGAAGGCTTTAATATATAGTTTTTAGCACAGTTTCAGGAGTCCAGTGATGATGTTTCCATCATCTGATATTATTTTCAATATCTGCTTACGTGAAGGAAGTTAGAGATGAAGTAGGAATGTTGACAGAGAGACATGAAGGAAGATGGACAGTGATCGAGGGAACTTCAATGTTGGTAGAGTTATGAGGGCGGTTGACACTTCCTGTCTGTCTGCACCATGCAAGGTTATTTTTTCTTGAGATACCTGAGAAAACAAGATTACCGCGTGACCGCGAAGCTCATGGGACGTCTCCTTGAAACCGGTCGCACACGATCTCTTCAAAGTTTTCAGATTAAGCTTTAATTGATTTACATCCAGCTGGATAACTCATACCGCCTGCCCCAGTCGTACATATGTGTAACTTTAGGAATGAGGCAATGAGTTAAAAGGAGTGGAAATTTCGGACATAGATTCACAAATAGATATAATGTACATAAACCAACAAATATGATTTCTTTGATGTCGTGTTGTTTACTTTATCAGTATATTTCAGTTTACTTTAGAAAATATGATAATTTGATAACTTGAGTAGTCGTCGCTCATACCAACTATACTAGCAAAGTAAATTTATGAGGATTTACTTCTGATAAAATAGGAGTTGTTTTACGGTGATATACTTAAGTATTATTGAGATAGCAAATCTGTTTTTCGAGGATATATACTGTCTCCATAATATTCACCATATGTTCATAGATTAATACAATTTATTAATGAAGTTGTTTGCCAGTCACAAGTAGTTTTGTTTGTCTCTGCTTGTTACGATAACATCATCAGTTTTAGTCTGATCAGAATTCTTTATACTTTATCATGCAATTACAGAACACATCACATATGACATTGTTTTAAACAACAGAGGGACTTGTTTTACATTCTATCAGACGATATGATATTCCATGCTGTGTCGCAACTGGCAGTTTCCAATGTTTCGTTAATTTAGCATTTCTTTTTGTCATAAAGAAAGAATGGAAATAACTTTTTCTTAGACCACATTGAATGAGGTATCGAATCGTGAAAATTACCTTCACTTGTTAAGTGCTTAATAAGTGGTGTCTAAAAAGTTGGCTTGTGGTGTAAAATTTACAGCTGTTTAAAGCAGCTAAAAGTTATCCCCGGTTGTCATCGTGCTTGTTATGGGATATTGCATTCTGTGCTCAAATTCATGTACTTTACGTGTGCTGTATGTATATTTTACCTATTTATATAGTTTATAAAGCACTATCTGCCATTGAATTAAGTTTCATGCCGTTTATTCATTTGCAAAGTACTGGTTATCCATCCACCTCCTAGTAGGAATGTAAGTACATTTATTTATAAAGAATTATGCTCAAAAATCAAAGTAAGTTAATTCAACCTTTAAATTGCAGTAAAAAGAATTTATGATTGAAGTTTTCCACTCAGAATAGAAGCTTATGAAGTACAGAAAATACGTATTTTTACACAGAACACTATTACACCTAGGGATAACTTTTAGCGTCACCCGTATACGCTTTGTATAAGTTACTGAATTTGTCTATTTTCTGCTTACTTGTGCCTACTTGCTTTTTCTTTCATGAAACTAGAGAACGCTTCCCCATCTTACCCAGTCAAACTGGCTGGTGTAAAGTCTATCGTCTCTGTCCATCGTTAGCGTGTAATCGAGACAAAATTGGTATTGCAATGGACGGTGATTTAAAACAGGAAGATACAAATTTAGCATCTTCTACGATGTAAGTTTTTATTTTTCATACTATTTATTATCCGTTACTTATGTGATAAAATTGTTCGTGTACGAGATAACATGTACCCACCTAAAAATTGGAATTAGTCCCGGTTATTCGTATCAGTTGAGAAACGGCTAACCGTTATCTGAAACATGTGATGTATTAGCGCTATACATTTTGAACAATCTGATCATGCATGAACTTGTTGAACTATTTATTCCTGTTTCCTATTAACTTCATTGACCCTTTTCGTAAATTTTCATATTAATAGTTCAACAAGTCCATGTATGGTCGAATTGTTTGGAATGTATGGCGCTAATACATCACATGTTTCAGATAATCGTCGTCTCATTACGCAGTTTAAATTTATCAAAGGGACCAGTTACTTTAACCCTTATCTGTTGCAAACTAATTATGAGCTAAATAGGTTAATATATCGACTAAATTTCGTAAACTTATAGGGGTTCCTTAGTTAGTTTTTAGTTTTATCGACTTTCTTTTGCTGCAAAAATGTGATATTTGGAAACTTTTTAGCATGATCTCCGAAATTCCATTTTAGTCTGTTTTTTAGAAATGTCGTACACTCAAACGGTATCATTTACTGGATAACGGTTCGGACACAATTTATTGTCCATATTCATATCAGGTAACTCCACAGCTTTGAGACTGAGTTTATATAGTCCTAACTTTCTCGCCTTCCTTGTGAAAATGGTGCTAGAATCTTCCATGTATCTGGGACAGGTGCAGAATCATTTGGATTGCACATATTTGGTGTTGACTCGATAAACAAAGATTCGGTTATCAAATACACATAATCACACAGCAGGGTGGGATAGAGCAACAGTATTAAAAACTTAGTTCATTGGAGAGAGAGATTGATAACCGAATCTTTGTTTATCGAGTCAACACCAAATATGTGCAATCCAAATGATTCTGCACCTGTCCCAGATACATGGAAGATTCTAGCACCATTTTCACAAGGAAGGCGAGAAAGTTAGGACTATATAAACTCAGTCTCAAAGCTGTGGAGTTACCTGATATGAATATGGACAATAAATTGTGTCCGAACCGTTATCCAGTAAATGATACCATTTCAACATGTGACATTCTTAATAAACGGACTAAAATGGAGTTACAATCTACCATAGTACCCAAGTTTTATTCCTATATTAATGATCTCCAGAACTCCTAAAATTAATCTTTCAGTTCTACTTTCTGGGAAAAGTTTTGAGCTTGGCATTTTAGGTGCTTAAACTGTAATAGTTATTATTTATTTATATTTATTCATAGGAAAACTTGGCACAACGTTGAAATAAAATGTCAGGAAAAGTTATAACAACATTAAAAAGGCATAAATTTAATTTAGAAGTAGTATTCATCATGGACTGACATCAGTTGGGGAACCATTGAAAATCTGAGAGCACTGGACAGCTGTTTCGTCCTAGTATGAAACCCCAGCAGTACGCACCCAGGACTCGGCTAGGGATCGAACTCAGGACCTTCAGGTTTCACAGCAAACGCGTTAACCATTCAGCCACTGGGTCGGTTTCCACTGGTTCACAATTTCCAACTTTTGTTAATTCATGACATAGCGCGACTGTCACCCAAGATCTTGAGCTAGCATCCACTTCATTTCCGACTGGTTGATCCCACAGGTCACGGCTTCTCATTCGAGCTTCCTGATATCCATCTGGAAGCAAGTTACTAATGAGCACTATACAGTAATGTATTTTGCAGATGATATAAAGGGACGGAAGAGAAGCGGAATCAAGAAAGTGACTAAGTTAGTAAAGAAGTTATCTCAAAAATAGATTAAAAAGATAGTTCAAACTTGATGTCTCACTTCACTAGAAGTCTACAGCATGATTACCTTTAGTTTGAATTTCGAGTCATATCTGGGGTGATCTTTAACGAATCAACGTTTCACGCATTTTACAAAGCCAGCAAAGTATGACAGTAGCTAATATTTCCAGTGCAAGTAATACCTGACTAGTACAATGATAGTTTTCACATACACATTGCGTATTCGATTTTGGAGTATGATTACTGAAATGATTGCATTCCAGAGTGGTAGAACAACACAATCAACTATACGTTGCCAAACAGTTTAGTCTGTTCCCTATGTGCTGTCTCACCCCTATGCTCAAGGACAGTCAGAGGTATTGGCTAGTTGTCTTATGGCGTTTTTAATACTTGGCGTTTCTTCTGGGTTTAACATCAAGTCCCCATTAAGTACCATGATGTCTTTTGAGCACACTTGGTCACTCAGTTTATGATAACCTTTCCTTATCTGCATCTTAGTCACAGTCCCCTGGAGTTTGCACAGGTACGAAAAATAATCGTTTTCTGTTCTAGTTACTTTTCGTCCTAACCTTACTTTCTAGCATGGCATCACATAGAGGACTGTTGGCAAGGATCCACTCCAATAACATAGCTTCTGCTCAGTTATTTTGTCGGGCACCAGCACCAGCACCAGCAAGGTTGAATTTATTCACATGTATTCTGCTTTTAAATGAAAAATCGTTTCTCTTGAACTTGCATATTTTTTCTAAACCGTTTCGGTTTCATGACATGGTAATCGCTATTGTAAAATTTTGTGAGAAATCTTCAACTGTTAGCCAATAGACAGATTTACATGACACTAAGAGGAATGTGACATATGATTAAACTGGTGATTTTGTATTTTTACTCTAGATTTTGTACTGGTTCATAAGTTTTCCAGTAAACAGCAGTATTCTGAACTCTTATCTGACTAGTCGTTTTCATCACAATTTTTGTTGTTAATATTACCTTATGCGTATAATAATTATTAGGCTTACTTTCAATATTTTAATTTTTCCAAAGTAATACTTTTTGTGCATGGTGTTATGATGCTGAGAATTCTGTATATTATATCAAAATACTGCTCACAACAAGGCTATTATAATTATTGTCTACAAATGCAACATATTGCACGTTAGTATTGATGAAGAGAACTATAACTTAGAATGTGTTTAGTTAACATGGTTTTCTATTGATTCTCAGTCTGAGCATCTACCAAAAACGCAGTAAAGACAATAGAAAATTAAAGTGAGAACTGATTTGTAGAATTATAGACGATGATAGCTGTCTTTCTGGGTTATTTTAAGCATTTTACTCTGGAGTTATAATGCATAGAAAAACATTAAAATATACTTCAAGCTGACTTAAGATTATCAACAAATTTCAGTGAGCAGATTAAATCTTTCTGTACCAACATGAATAGAAGCGGTTTATTAATGTTTCTTTTTCCCTTAACTTGTTTAGAGATTGATTTTCTATGCTTCATCTATCAACATATTATACCACTTTTGTCATTTTATTACTCAGTAATCCTCCTAACTCTCATAATCGAGAACCAGTTGGAATTGTTGTACAATACAAGGTAAAAATACGATTAGTCCTTGGCTTCGGTATAAGGTGGGTGGGATTTCAAGTTGGATTGTATGGTTTTTTTTATTGCATTATTTGAACATTGTCCGCAATTATATGACGGTTAAGAATCCATAATTCATTTATTTGGTCTATCAGCATTCAGTGTTTATCTATGGTTAACTTATCAATCGCGGTCGCTTTAGGTTCTTTGGTGGTAGATGGACTGTGATTATGAACGGATTTATGATGTCAAGTAATAAATTGACTTTTACTGTGATTCCATTGAATTATCAACTTTCCTCCACCTAACCGTTATCCAATGTTTCAAGTATGTTGTTCTGTCGATGAGGTCTTGGAATCTTGATAGGATTTATTTGCATGTACCGTTAATACACTGAATGGAGCAGATTTTGTAATTGTAAGGACGGTGGACTATCAGTAACAGGTACTAATGAATTCAGAGATCAGGTTGGTTGCGTTGTTTGGATTCATGATTAGTGGTTGGGATAAAAGGGCAGTTACCTTCGATCACAATTAATAAACTGTATCAATCTGTCCCCTGAAGTGTCAGGTCTTAGCACCTTGTTTCATATATCAGCAAAGTAGCTTAGACGTATATATATATCTGTTGAAGCAAATGTGATTATCGCCTTCACTTATGTTGACATATTTTCACTCAGAATATCTAAATAACGATCACCTTGAGTTTATCTGCTTTGATATTCCACTATCAAAAAGAGCAGTGGGAGGCCTAAATATTTGTTAGTTTGTTAGGTGTTTAACTATCTAATTAGGTAACTAGTTACTAGCCGGTCCTAAGCCCGGATAAAGAGGGAAGGTAGGGCATACGGCTACCAACTCTACCCCGGAAAACCAGTCTAACCCCTAAAGAGACTTCAAAGCACAAACAAAATATTAGACATAAAATTAAACTTATTCCTCCCTGAAATCGGGGAGACGAAATGACGCCGGTTAGTGAAAACCATCGGGAAGTCAATTGGCCGATATGTCTTCTCTCCTCTCGATGAAAGCGAAAGTGAGAATGGGGAAATGGAATGTCTGAACAATGTTTGAAGCTGACTGGCAGGACTGACCAGATTGTCAAAGAGATGATAAAGTATGGTATAGAAGTGGTAGGAATCTGTGAGAGCAGATGGAATGGAAGTGGACTTTCCAAACTTTTAACTGGAGAGTCAATAATCTACCCGATATTGTCACCCAGACGACAAGCACGAGCACACTGAGCTTTCCAGTGGTTATCATGATGTCCCCAAAAGCCTCGAAGACTCTCTGTCTCATGCAGTGTGAACCAATCTCCCCCTCCAGGAAACAGGATCATGACATCAGAGTTCAAAGCAAAAGGAAGGAATGTCACAATCATACAATGCTACACTACGCACCTACAAATAGTGCAGATGAAGAGAAGAAGGAGGAATTCTACAGACAACTGCAATCAGTAATGAACAAGAACCCACATGGTGACAGTGAAATCAAAATTCTAGTGGGAAGGGTGTCATGAGTGCTAAGCTGGGAGCGGACAACACATGAAGCGAAGTCATCATGGGTTGAGAAGCACTCAGTGAAATGAATGAGAATGGAGTACTGTTTGCAGACTTCTGTGCATTCAACGATTTGGTGATTGGAGGCAGTGTTTACAAACACAAGAATATTCACAGTGTAGCGACATGGATTTGATTTCACCAGACACCAGAACAAACTGCACTAAAAATCAGATTGATTTCATCTCAACGTGAAGAAAGTGGAGATGGAGACGCAGCCTACTGGACACAAGATCAGACGAAGAAGGGGAGCAGATGTAGGTGGATTCACACCACTCACTGTCTAGTGCAGGGAACCTATCTCCGAAATCAGGTTGAAAGCGTTCACAGAAGTTGGTGATAGACCACGGTTGAAGTTGAACATCCAGCTAGAACAGAGACTGAAGTGAAGGACGAAACTCCGTGGGACATGTTCACGTCAGCCAGTCATGAGGAAAAGATGGGAGACATTATGGAACATGCTGGAGGAAACCTGTGGGGAAGAACACTGGAACTGTTTGGAAGGCATGTGGAAGGACACCTGCACAGTTGTATTAGGAAGGAAGAAGAAAAAAGATAAGACAAGGAATGGATCTCGACGGATACATGGGAGCTGATAGAAAGGAGAGGAGAGGAAGCTGGTGAAGCAGAAGATGAACCAAAGCAAGGATAAACAACGAATAAAGGGACTGAGTAAAACGTATAAAGCACTAGACAAAGAAGTGTAGAAAAATGCACGGAAAGGCAGCGAATACCCCAACGACACACTGGCAAGTGAAGCAGAAAAGACTGCAGGTACGAGAGACAGAAATCTGGAAGGGAAGAGATCAACTCAGGTGTATAACCAGTGAGCAAAATATTATGTCGCTTCATACTGGAGAGACTGAAAAATGCGCTGGATTGAAAATTACGACCGAAGTAGGCTGGCTGACTGGCCGGCTTCAGGAAGAACAAATCGTGTACGGATCAAATTGCAACGTCACGCTACGCATCATCATATAGCCAAGCATAGAATGGCAGTCAACTCAACTCAAGTCAACCGTAACTTCATGGATTTTGAAAAGGCCTTTGACAGCGTCGAGCGAGAAGTAATTTGTGAGGCAGCTGCTTCAACACAATGGTTTTAGTGCCACAGACCTTTATTAACTTCATTCGACAGCTATATGCTATATGATGAGGCTGCATGTGAAGTGATTTATAATGGAGAGCTCAGTGATGCGTTTTGAGTGGAAGTGAAGACAGGAAGGAGTAAGAGAAGGTTGCCGCCTACTATCACCGATGATTACGGTCGACTGGACAGGACTGGGTTGTGCAACAAAGTGTGAGGAGCAAGAAGAGAGGCATACGTTGTTTGATCTATGAAAAGATCCTAGAAGATTTGAATTTCGCGGTGGATGATGATTTGGGGGTAATGTCTTGTCGCACAAACTCGAAGATCTACAGGTGTAGACCAAGAAGTTGACAGGAGAGGAGAGGAGAGACGAGACGAGGCAGGGAAGGAAGACGGAACTTCGTTCAGGTGAATGTGTAGAGGACAGAGGTAGAGGTGATGAAGATAGCCAACCAGCCAACCAACGAACAGCATCAACAGCAAGCACCACTCACCATGAACGGGAGAAACGTACCCAGGTAGGTCAGCATTGTTTCAGCTACAGGTGGCGGTGGTACAGATGAGGATGTGAAAGCAGCCAGGATTGGAAAGATAGTGAGACAGGCCTTCAATTATCTGAAACCGATGTGGAGATCTACTGCACTGCAGTCAGGATAAAGCGTGAACAAGATTGGTATTTTCAACACTAATGTCAGTGCTTCTACTATGTGATGGTTGAGAGACTTGTCGATGCGTTAGGGAAAGCATTTCCAACAAACTAGAGACATTCATCAATAGCTACTGCCCACGCTCACTCGATGCTGAGGATGAGATGGCCAGAAGAATAAGAATAAGCAACAAGGAACTCACTGTGGCTGGCAACGAACCTGCTTGGAACCCATCGGCCAACGAATATGCAGACGGTTTTAATTTCCGAAGGGTTAATGAGTGTACAACTGCTGAGGGATCCCATGGGATGACGAAACAGCTGTTCAGTGCTCGCAAGTTCTCCAGCTGATGTAACTCCGTGATGAATATCTAGCGTGAAGCATGAAGTATTAGAGATATACATTTTTTAATAGGTAATGTGTACTCATGTATGAATTTATATCGTTGTTTTTTTGTCGATATGTCTACAGCGATGTCTGCTTAGAACTGCCATTTACTTTAACTCATCCTAATCCTGATTCAAATGATCTCAATGAAAATCAGCAAGATGATGAACTTATATCTTCCGTTACCACTGAACCTTCTCTTACTGAAAAATCACCGGAGAAAATGAATTCAGTAAATTTGGGGAATATCAAATATCTGGGTACATCTGTTGTGAGTGATACTCCTAAAAATTTGCAAAATACCATTGCTCCAAAAATTGATCCTGGTTTCATGAATCTGCAACGAAATAATTCTGATGATCGTAATCATTCAAATCCTTTCAAGTAAGTCTTAAAAGCCTTAATCTCATACTGGCAATTTGGTAAATGTAATTTATAACTAATTTCCTCTTAAAACATGGTTCTAGATTGTATTGCAACCAAAATGTTTGATAAGCTGTTTGTTTTATTTTTCCAACAAATAAACGGGAGTTGTCAGGAAATCATTATTATCATTAGAACTTATCCGTACTGCGTAACGATTCAGGTTACGATAACTCGCAGCACTACATGATGTGAGTGAGACAATGATATTAAAGTGTAAATAATAATCGAATATTGGTGCGGTATTCGAAATCCTGATAATGATAACTTGTTCGTACAACTGCATTATTGTGACCGGTTTTAAGACATATCGCTAAAATTCCTATCATTTGTTCCTATCGTCTGGAAGGCATGAGCTAGACAGCCTAAACCTTCTACACGACTCAGAACAGCTGTCGAAAACGTGATGCATTGGTGTCGTGCTTGGTCTAGCAACTATTAGCTTTCTACCAGTCTAATGCAACCTTTGTTAGCATGGCACTTCAAAAGAGCAAGTGACTAGGTATGAGAGAAGTATGACCAGACCGCGTCACTTAATGCAGCTTCACAATACTAATGGCTGAATTTCGTTTTTTGCTGAAAACTGTACTCACAAACTCAACAATTCTCACTTTGTGGTTCTGCCTTAAAAAAAGCGATTGTACGAAGATACCTATATAGCCATGGTTGATTGACCCACTTGATCAGCGTTCTGCCACTTTCAGGGTGAAGGTATGACCGATTATCTTATGCACACAACTGCCGACAGTTGTTGAATTATAACTTTAACATGTATTTTTGTGAAAGACCAAATGCCTATAGCCTCCCTACGTTTTCATGTGATTCTATCACATGGAAGCTGTTATATCGAGACCTAGGAGTCAGAAACTTGTAGCTTCCTTATATCTTTCCGCCTAAACATTCAAGTCTTGCGGCCATATGCTAGGACAAAGCGAACTACTGTACATCATACTCTTCTTTTGATATGTTTGATATCTCGCTGACGTTATAATTGACGTAACTTGGAGAATACTAAACAGACCTTTTTTAACCCCGAATAGGATTACATCTGCAACCAACCCTTTAGGACTGACTTAGTGGTCGCCGCGTTCCACCACTTCCTTCTGTATCCTGAAGGAGCACGATACGTTTGATACGTGCACGCATACAAAACCGTAATGAGTTGTCACTGTCCAGGCAGATATGTGATACATGCATGAGCTCTCCGGGCTTGCGTAGAAAAGTACCAACATTTATAGCGATATTCACATTGATTATAGCTGTTCTTTGTTTCCTTAACTAACGCCATAACCCTATCCGTTGTTTTTTAAGTACAACTAAGTGTATTTTTGTGTGGTTGTGTTAGTGTAGTGTAAATACAGATATTTTATGCTGTGATAGCTTGATTGAACTGGTTGTTAGAACTGTTTGATGGGGCTGTGAATTCTGGGCATCACAATTCTGACTCTTCTTCTTCCTGCATCATTCCAGAATACTAGTGCTTCTGAATACTAAGTTTAAAAAATGGCACAGAAATTTACTCATATTTTTGTTTTTGGTGTACAGAAGACCCTACATTTTTTCGTGTACAGACCTTAGTTCTAAAATGTGTGCTCCTTGGAGTAAGTCTAACCTTTTTGCAGCCTGAAACTACTTGAGCTAACTTTGTGCTATATGGCAGACTTTGACTAGGCATATGTTACACATCTCCCAGCTATTTAACAACGGCATCTTAAAAAGAAAAGAAAAGGGTCTGAGAAGTCGAAGAAGGTGAGTCTCATGAACCCCATCGAATATTCTAACTGACATGAGTAAATTAAATTTGTACAGCTATGTGAAGCTGTTTGATTGGTCTAGGGATTCGACTCCCAACTAATGGGTCACAATTTCGAACAGCACTTTTCACCTTCTGGGGTTTGGTAACTAGATATTGTCAGAAGCCATCATGCAATAGGTGTGGCTCATTGTCTACCACATGAACGTGCACGTGTTTGCTGAGTACACCTCTCTCTTTCTTATGCAGCTCTTTATTTTCTCTCAATTTTTTTACCCCAGACTTTTCTAATATCCCTTGTATGGTGTTGATTGCATTTTAGGGTTAAACTGTTTGGGAGGATTGAGTTTAACGAAAGATTAGAAAATGATATTATATCTTGCGCATATATTGAAGACTGTGATCTTGTTATCGCCACGTTAGTGTTTAATTAGTTTGCATTAAACAGTCACTCAGTCATTGTCGATCTGAGACCTGGCATTATTGCGCAACTGTCCATATTGCCCAACTCATATCAGCACAACAAGTTAGAAGGAACCAAGATAAGAGGTAGGGAAATAAGAACGAAAGTAACCAAAGTTTGTAGAAAGTCGTGAAAGAGCGAGCAGGAATGAAACTATAGTGAAATTCAGTATGAAAATCATCATGAAGATAATGTGTGAATGTATCTGCGTCACTGAGATCAATTCTCATCTTTGGTGCGTAGCATATATGACTCTTTGTTTATGATATTAGGCTTCTTAGTATGTAGATTATGGTTATTTAATGGCTCTAGGTGATTATTAGTTTATTGGTTTAGTAACAATTACCAAAGCTTATTTTAAAACACAAATTTCTGAAAAGTTAATAATTGATTAGTGGTAAACTTATTAAGTGTAACTCTTAGGTTTCTTTTGGATACTAAAAGTTCATAAATTATTTACATTTAGCTTGACTTGAATACAGAGTGATTACAATAATACAACTCCCTTCTATTTTATTTATTCAACTTAGCGAATCCCTTCATTCACCACAGTTTGTCAACAAATCAATTTGTTCTTACTCTCCACCTGTATGGGATCGTAATTTTCATTTAATTTTCTCTGGTTCACGTTCATCTGATCGTCGTCCATCTACTGTTGGGACACAGTCTACATTAAGTGAAGATGATTTGCTATTTGAAGATTTTGCTCGTTTTCGTCTTCAATCCTAATATGTGTTCAACCTTCTACGCTCTATATTTTAGCATCTTGATACATATTGTTCTCTTCGCTATGATTACTTTTCATACCTATTTAAATTCGTCTTTGTATTGCGTTGTTTATTGATTGTTGATGAATTACGCCTTTCTATCCAACCATTTTACAAATTCTTGTTTGCCATACGAATATACTTAAGTAACTGCATATATTCTACTATCATGTTATCTTTCTCTTGCCTGCAAGTTAGTGATTGCATATGACGGGTTTGAACACTGGGGAATTCGTTAATGGCGTATCCTGTGATGTTTTAAAAACAAACGAAATACCATCACAAACAAGGACAAAGGCTATGATTATACTAATGCAAATTATATTGTTACTTTAACATGCTATTTTTGCGATCTACCTCGGGAATTTTAATTACCTCAATTTCTTAGTTTAACTTTGGTATGTTTATTTTTAACTTTGTCTGTATGTCCAATGCATATTTTATTGTTTTCGTTTATTTTATTGACTTTAATTATGTATATATGTATGAGGCAAATGTGTACACATGGTGTTTTGCTTTAGCTTCATTTCTACTACTCTCTTTTTTTTCGTAAAAAAGGTTGTTTTCCCTTCTTTTTCGAATCGGTTGGTGGAGCTATTTATATAAGGTAGCTGTTACTAAGCCTCTACATAAATATTCGAGTGATTTTTTACACGAGTGAGTTTTCCTCTTTATTTCCTTTCTTCACTGCTGCATAAAATAGTACTGTTATTGATGTTTATACATTCTATGTATCAAGGAGTCGGCTAGTTATCGGATAGATAATCTGAAAAGGAAGAAAAAGAAGACAAGTTGATTAAGGAAGTGGCAACACCAGAATATGTATGCATGAAGTAGTGTGGCTTGTTTTCAGCTTTAGAGATAAACACTTTCTGTATATTTTTCTGTATAGTCTTTTGTTTATTTCTAGTGCATCTTACTTCCATCTAGGTGTTCATCATTGCTAACTGATAATGTTGTCTGCTTATGAGTATGTTCCCTTCTCACCTTACTGGGTTTTTTGGCTTTGTATATGTAAATACACGTTAGGTATACTCTTATGTCCTATAAGATTTCACCAGTTGGTGAATTCCCGGCACGTAGCACCTTAGTCTACATCCATTTAGGGTTACTATCCTTTTGCTCTTTTTTTCTACAAAAGAAAAGTTGCTATTTATTGATACTTTTAATATTGCTACATTCAATCATTCATTTCTTGACAATTAATTGGCGAAAATAACAACTTCCCTCTTCTTTAATATATATGGAGATGACTGAATATATGTCGATTTACAGCATTATAGATTAACCAATGAAATATAACAATCAACTGTCTTTTGGAAATAAAGGCGATGCATTTATTTAGTACGCTGATTTACTATTTTTTTTCCTAGCTGCTTCGATCCCCTTCCATTCTCCACCAGATGCTCACTTCGTTGAAGCGTTCTATAATATTTAGGCAACTTTTAAAAAAATTGGTTCTTTTGTTTTTCTTACTGTTTTATTTTGAAGTTGTTTACATTTTATGTTTTCTCTGCTTTTACATTATCTTTCTGCATGCACACAAAGTTCCAACCAATTAGACGCACAGCTACTGTTAATTTAGTTTTTCAGGGAGTATATATATATATATATATATATATATATATATATATATATATATACTTCTGGTATCTTTTCTATTGTGTAATTCGACTATAACGTCTGTACAATAAACAATAATAAATAATTAATTGTATTTAAAGTAAATAAATAAATATGTGACTGTCAAACTTTGCTGTGTTTTTATGTATTTAATGATCAGTGGATTAGGGTCTTTCTAAAGTCAGAAGATTCCTTTAGTATTTTTAGCGCAGAAACAAAACAGCACATCCAGTAAGTGCTTCACTTTCATACGTAGTTGTGAACTGTATCGAAGGTTGTTCACTCATCTTATGAACTGGTTTTCCCATTAGAGATATTTGTTTGTTCTAATTTGCAAGTTGCTAAACCGCGTTAGATACATTATTGTTTTCTTTTTTATGAGAGAGGCAATTCAAAAGATTCCAGTAATTTTGATATTCCAATGTTAACTATAATAATACTCGAAGCAATTTATCTTAGTGAAGTTAGTATATATATATATATATATATGATTTTTCAACAGCACTTTGTTGTACTATTTATCGAATTTTTAGGGTGTCATCAATGAAATTCCAGTAGTTATTGTTATTTTATTAGCCTGCGGAATAATTTCTTAAAGTTGTCTGAATTACTGCAGCCAATTAAAACCAAACATACATACTGTTGTACGGTGAGAGGCAAACCAAGTCGGATGTGGGGTTAAGTGCTAAGCCACTGCATTGGATAGAGGTCGTGCTGTATCGCGAACTGACAGAAGTAGGAAAATGTGAACTATTGGATTCTGACCGAGTGGCTGAATGTTAACATGCTGGACGCGGGACCTGGAGGTCCTGCGTTCGACCCGTGGCTGGGTCGTGGGTGCGCACCGCTTAGGAGTCTCATACTAGAATGAAACACCTGTCCTGTACTCTCAGGTTTCCAATGGTTCCCCAGCTGATGCTATTCTGTGATGAATATCAGCTTGAAATATTTGTGTTCACAAATTAGGGACGATGATTTTTTTTAAATGTGTAGTAGAATTTCGAGGTAGTATTCATCATGGACTGACATCAGTTGGAGAACCATTGATGAAAACGTTGGAGCACTGGACAGCTGTTTCGTCCTAGTATGGGACTCCTATACACTAAGCATCAAGGACCGAACCTGGGACCTTCAGGTTCCATAGTCAGCAGGTTAACGTTGAACCACTGCGTCGGAGTCCAATGGTTCACATTTTCCTACTTCTCTCAGTTGCGGATACAGTGCGACTATCACCTAAGGTTTTCAGTTGGCATCCGCTTCCCTTCCGACTGGTTGACCCCACAGGTCACGGCTCCTCTTTAGAACTTCAGGATATCCATTTGGAGTATTTCACCAATGAGCACTATGGGGTAGTGTATTTCGACCTCAAAATACATCACTGTATATTCCTCATTAGTGACATACTTCCAGTGGGATATCTAGAACTTGTAATGAGAAGTCGTGACTTGTTGGGTCAACCAGTCGGAAGGGAAGCGGATGCCAAGTGAAGATCTTGGGTGTTAGTCGCGTTATATCGCTAATTGACGGAAGCATTGAACTGCGACCCAGTGGGTGAATGGTTAACGTGTTCGCCGTGAAACCTGAAAATCCTGAGTTCAGGTGATGGCGGGGTTATTGGTTTGTACTGCTGAGGATTCCTATACTAGGGCTAAATGCTCCCAGGTTTCCAATACTTATCTAACTGATGTCAGTACACGACGAACGCTACCTCAAAATTAAAATCCCTACTAACCCCAAAATGCATTACTCTATAGTAAAATGGTTAGGCAGCTCGGTAATAATCGATGTCAGGTGGCACAGTTTATTTTTGACCTTATAAGAAAAAGAGTACCGTTAGCTTTTTGTAGACTTTAAAGACCTCTGATTATTTTTCTACTACTGACAACAAGTAGAATATTATGTACACTAGTTTTCGCGATTGTTTAAGGTGAATTTGTTTTACTTTTATGTTGTACGCAAATATTTCTTTAGGGTCAAATATTTTCCTTATGAACAGCTGTATCAAAAAGGAATACATAAAACTTGGCTGGATCAGCACCTCCATTAACTATATTTTGAAAGATCATCTTTTTAACTCAGCCCATTCTTGTGTTGGGATCATTAAGGATCGAAATCTTACTATCTTACCTGTTCTTTATTCGTTTAGAGATTTATCAGAGTAATGAGTTAGTTAAGTAAAATAAAATAGTTTGAAGTTAACCTCACTGGGTTATTTGCAACTGTTCTCTGGAAGCGTAAGTTTCTTTATCCTACTGATAAACGCAGAGGCATAGACTTCTGCGATCTACTTTTATTCATGCAATACTTGAACAATTAGTTTGAATTTTTATTTCATTTTATTGTATTTCTTGTGATTGAGTCCTTTTGTAGTTAAATTATTAATTAATCAGTCAGTTGTTTATTGTTATTAATCAATCAGTTGATTCATTTATTTTGTCCTGAAATGATGGTGATTTACTAATTAAGATACATTCCACCGAAATATTAACACAGCCTGTATCACTTTTTTGGTTCATTCCTTATTATTATTATTATTATCATTATTGGGAATGTTATTCACTCATCAATTTAGTCATGTTCTTAAATACCAAGTAAAGCAAAATGAAATTGGAATTAATTGTTGTAATAGTGTGTTTATTGACATATAGACTAACAAGTGGGTTATTAAGTCAGCTAGCAGTGTGTCGATTAATTTCTGGTTCCATTCATATGTATGCAAACCAGTCATTTCTTTCAGAATACCTGTAGGTCATAATAAGTGACCAATCGTACAGTAATATCCCTTTTTTGATTACCTGTCATGTACTGCATAACCATCTTTTTTTTATTGATTCTTTTCCGTTCATATTTGTTCATGTAGCTTGAAATGTTTGCCTGAATACATAATTAACAGATTAGTGGTTAAATTTAAGAAATTGTATTCTAACTTTCATTCCTCAACAAAAGATTAAAATTTCTATGTAACCTATAGAATATCCATTACAAGATAGTAGAGAAGATCTGTAGCTCATGATGAGGATGATGATTAATCAATTAAGCTGAAACATTTTCAAGTTCTGTTGATTGCTAGTATACATTAACCAAGTAACGAAGCAATAAGATGAAGTATAAAAGAGATAGCGAGGAATCCGTCAAAGGCGGTAAGTTGGAGGAAGGAGAAATAAGAAAATAGACTTCAGTATTTCTCTTTCATTCTTCCTCCCTCATCACAAAGTACATAACGCATAAGTCGGGCTTAGAGTCTTAGGGAGGAGGGAAAGTCGGTTGATGCGGTTATGAACCTTCATCGACTGGAATGGCTAAGATATGTGTTACATATGCCTAGTCACTATCTGCCTTGTCGCACAATGTTAGCTGAAGTACGTTCAAGCTGCAAAAAAGCTTGAGGCAGTCAGACTAAAGCATGATATCGGTACATGAAGTCCTTGACTGCTAGTTTGAACCATGTAAGGTAATACAGACTAGCCGGTTGGGTTTCACGTATCAACAGAACTCAGGGCTTGGCGACTCAGAATCAGTGTCAGTAATGCAGACGTATTCACACTTTATGTGTATGCTGACAAAGTTTTGAAGGCGGTTGACACATACAGCTGTCCATACCGTGGAAGGCTAGGTTTTAATGAGGTACCTGAAAAGGAGTGTTGGTGTGTGACAGTAGAGTCGAAGGGATATCGGCTTTGGGCTGGTCACACAAGGCCTTTTTGAATGTTCTAGATTTTGGTTTGTTATTTTTGAATCTCACTATCAGCCTGTGTTGCTGTTACGTTACAGGGTATTTAAACTCTAATGGTAACTGCTTTTTGTCGAACCATTATCCAACAGACCTTTTTGGTATGGTAGGAGGACCTGGAGGGGACAAGCGTTCTGCCAAAATAGCTCGTTGGGCCATTGTGATATGCAAGCCTGACCACCATCTAAAAGTAGAAGCTGTTGGTCGGTTACTGTCAGCATAAATTAGTATTTCTGGACGTAAGCGTATATATCATGTGAACTGACAAGAAATTACGTCAGTTGACACACTGGCAGGTATCACTTTGTCTAATCTGGAAGTTAAAACGTATTTGTTTCTGCATTTCGAGAAATGGTAGACGAAGCTTACAATGCTGTAGTATTCAATACATTGAGACATGTTACTCTAGATTAGCATGTTTTATCCTATGAAATTTTGTGTTGCTCAAGTCAGTTAGTGAGTAAATGAACTATTGATATCATTCTGTGTTGCAAGTAACCATTAATTTGGGACAGGTGAAACACAAATAATACATGGGGTAACCAATACTTTTGCTGTAACTGCTTCAAGTAGCTTCTATGCGAGAATATATTTCAATGAACGTTTTAATTTTTGTAAATGGTAACTATATGCAGTTGGTTTTCATACTAAAGACGGATTTTGTTTCATATCACTGTGTGCTCATGAAAAACCATATTGGACAATTCATCTTATAGTTGACAAATCGAAATAAGCTACTTAACTTTTGACCTAGTGATTTTATATATCCATGAAAAATGTATGTGGATGATGTATTTTTGTCAAATAAAGTGTCTTCCTTGCGGACACAGGCCGGTCTTTATCTTTTGGTTTTCGCAGCTCAATGAAGTATAAGGTTCTATAGCAGAACAGTCACTATTTGTATCCAGTTCGAGTGTCTTATCGCAATAACATCATTCGTGTACTTATTGTTACTCATTCGGCCACTTCAATCTTTATCCTGCATACATTGACGTTAGGAAGTAATCGAAAACCTAAATGATTTCTTAGC